ATTATTACAAAGAAAAAAAAACACATATGTAATAGGCGAGGGGCGACGGAGAAGTCTTTATTTTTTACTAAATGATTGCAATCCCTTTTTCCGTCTCTCCTGCTTATCCGTCATATTGTTTTATATAATCATCGAAATTAATTATTTTTTTTAAAAGTAATGTTATATAATCATAAGGAAAAAAAAAAACAAAAATAAAAAATAATAAGAACCTAAACAATATGTAGTTTCTAGTAATAGTTGTAGTAATTGTAGTAGAACGAAATCTAGTCAATTTGAAAATTACAATATGTATATACGAGAGCGCGCGCGCGACCGCCTCGAAGGGAAAACAAAAACAGTGTGTTCCTTGCTTGGTTCCTTACCGCATCGAAAAATTTCAACAAAATATTTGAAAGAAATGGGGAAAACAAATATGCGTTTTCTGTTTCTTTTCAGCGATTTATTTTTATTTTATTTACTTTTTTCACCTCTATATTTTTCCTTTCTTCAATCAATGGTGGTGTTTGTTAATTCTCCTTCTCGAATTCTCTATTCCTTTCTTTCGTTACAATATTTTGTTTTTTGTTGTTGTTGCTGCTGTTGTTATTGTTGTTGCTGTTTTTGTTTTTGAAGCGATGATTCAGTACTTCTCAGTGACGGGCTCTCATGTAAACGCTGGCGACGTCGTGAGAATCATAGCCTAATCTCCTCACGTGCTTGTAGATCTCGTTCGCGGTGGATGTCATCAGCAGGGGTTGCGTCAGCGTATCGGCAAGCTCGAGTGCCTGCCGCATGTCCTTCTGCATATGCTGCAGAGGTTGCTCCACGTTCCTAAAGTCCATAGACATAATCATATCGGCCTTGGCGCGCAGGAACGGCGAGCAGAGGCTCGTCAGCTCGAACACCTCGAGCACGTCCTTTGGCGAGATACCCGCCCGATCGGCGAGCGCGAATCCTTCGGCGAGTCCTGCCAGTGCCACCCCCTTGATCACCTGCAACGCCATGTTCATCTTGGATGCCAGACCCACGTTGCCCAGGTTGAACGCCGTCCGTCCCATCGCCGTGAAACAACTCTTGCAGTCCTTCAGCAGATCCTCGTCGCCGGCCACCAGGACGATCAGGTTTCCTTCATCCGCCTCCTTCTTGCTGCCAACGAGCTGCGCCTCCAGATACTTACCGCCGTACATCTTAATCAACTTGCTTATGTCCTTCGAGCTGTCGCTGTCCACGCTCGTCAGCTCGACGTACCCTTTGCCGTTCAAGTTCCCATCCTCGTACAGGATGCCGCAATTGCCTTGCATCATCTACAAGAAGTAAAAGAAAACATTGAAATCGAAATAAATACTCGGTCATCACTAAATATATGTATATATATTAACAGTGGATTGCCCTCAATATTATTTAATATCCATCCAAATTAAAAAGTAAAGTAAAAGAGACAACACTTTCACGAAACGAGCGAGAAATTTCACCTGCGACCTTGACTACACCTCGCATTGCATTATTTGAAACCTCTTGCTTGATTTTTCTTTCCTTCCATTTTGTTTCTTTTATTTTGCTCTATATTCAAAACGCATTCAATATTATGAATCACCGATGTGCCAAAATAATACTCAAACAATATTTCGAATACGGTACATATAAAACGTTTGAAAAGAAAAGTAATTCGTTCAATGTAAATGTAAAAGTCCAAAGTTCGTAGATGTTTTGTTGACTAACTAGTTAACTAGTTAACTAGAGGTATAAAAAAATGAAATTTTTCGTAATTTCGAGAAGGATAGGTGGTGAAACAATGCAGAAAATTAGATTAGGTTGTATCGGAGAAAATATGTACTTTCATTTCAATCGATCCTATACCTCCTCCTGCCGCAATACGAGCAGCTCGAAATTGAACTTGGAACCGTCGGTCCAATCTTGGTCAAGTTTACATTATGATGCCGGACGTAAAAATCGAACGACGCGTTTTCTCTCTACATCTCGATTATTGTTCCATTTGCAAATTGAGCGGAGATAAACAGGCTCGAACCCAAGGTCGACCTTATCTGAACTCGCACATCGTTGATAAGCAAATCCGTTACATATTTTTAATTATCCACCAAAATGGATTAATCGTCCTTCTTCTTTCCTGCCCCACTCCTCCTACCGTAAGAAACTCACCTGTTTAACAGCAGTCGGGTCACTAACGCAGCAGAATATGATATCGGAATTGGCGACAATGTCGCTGGGGGTTGGGTAAATCTGGACCAGTCCGACATTAATCTCATCCGCCTTTTCCTTCAAGTCCTGAGCCTGGAAAGCCATAGAAGAAAAAAGAATAAACACTAGTTAATATCGAGAGTAATTTATACTGCAAGCAATAATTGAAGCGCCGTTACATAACAACAAACAACACCGCGTAGTATTTCTATACTGTTTCTTCTAGCACATATGAATACTGTTAGTTGAAATAAAAGTACAATTGATTACTAATACATAATTACTAATAAACGAAATTCAATTCACATTCATGATACGAAACGGCAATTTTCAACTATACATGTGTAGAAAGATAAATCTAAATTTTGAGACACTTTTAGAAAGTGTCTGTGCATTAATACGCAATACGAAAGTAGGATTTTGTAATTTATAATTCCAATAAAGATTAGTGTATTCTTCGAGATTAAGTACTCAAATTCTCTAAATTAAAAGAAAAGAAACAAGTAATGAGAAAGTATACAGTATAGTGAATAATATACCAAGCGTCGATAAAAATGGTGTTTTTGTTTGTCCAGAATTAATCGATATACAACTTTGTAAGAGAATCCGGTTTCTCAATTTACGTAATAATATGTAAGATGTTGTATCCAACGTCATTTAAAAAAAAACGGGATAACATGATAATGATATATTTAAATTGTCAGTCTTGGTTAGACCCAAAATATTATTGTTTTTTAAGCATTGTACATAATCCATCTATGGTATAATAAAGATTTCATTCGAATTAGAAATATCAAATATACTACAATTTCATGGTAAAGTACTTCATCATCAATATTTAACTAATTATAAAACGTAGATGGTGTTTTACTTTGGTAAATTCGTTCGTAAATGTAGTTTTCCAATTGCTGATGCTTCAAATTATGGACATAATCCAATTACGGCAGGAAACGAGGTCGAAAGTTGCAAAAGAAAATTGAGAGAGAGAGAGAGAAAATGACTGTAAGATGCCAAATGTGTTTGGTCAAGTGCACAGGATAATTCTAATTTGCGCCATTGAATTCGTAAGATTAGCGATCATTGCCGCTAACTAGGCGACCAAACAACAGTTACGCAAGAGGCGCGCGTCACAAACACCTTTCCCAATTCCTTCCTTCTTTCCACATGATTATTATCATCATCATCATTACCAACTGCTAAAGCTTCGATGCGATCGATGGAAGCCCCACAATAGTGGCATATAATTGGCTAAATTTTCGTCAATTGACCCCTAAACATACGGGACAATCAATGGGCGATAAGTCGTCCACTGTTGGTTTGTTTGATTATTATTATCATCATCATTGCGTTCGTTCGTTCGTTGTGAGAGGTATATGAAACATGGCGAAACGGAAATCGGCCACGTAATAGTATTGACGAGGATGGGAATAGCGTGCTCGTGTGCGCGCATGGTGGCGTTTCCAATCTCCATTTTTTTTTTTCGTTTCTTTCCCCGTTCCGTTTCTTTTTCCTTTTAGCAACATTGCCATTCGTACGGGCGGAAGGCGAAGGGAGAGGAGGAACCCATTGGTATCGGACACGAACAGGGATAGTAGAGAGAAAGAGATAAATAGAATGCGATCCATGGCGGAACGGAGAGGTCGTCCGGCGTCGGCGCAAATAAGACCCAGGTTCTTGCTGCGCGCGTACTCCCCTCGGAAAAGCACCCAATGGACTCGTCCCAGTTGCTTCTGAACCGCACAGCTGAGTGCGTGAAATGTTGTAGGCTAGACACACTCTAGGCATTTTTTTTGTATATTGGTGCGTCGTTGGTTCGACAGTGAACATTGGATGTTGTAGCGAGTACACGGCAAAACGCATTCATTCCATCCACGTTTTATTTTCTTTCTTTCCTTTCTCGATCAATTTGATCAAACGCAAACGGGAAAATCACCGAATTTCAGCGAAATCTTACTAGACATATTGAGTTGAGAGTATATAGTATATAAAATATTGATACGATGTCGAGCATCGGTGGTGAGTAACATGCATACAATACAAAACGAGTAGATTTCTCTCTTCCTTCCATTCCTTCCTTGTGGGTTGATTAAATGGTTGCACTGTAGAGTGTATCATAATAATAAATGATGCGGAATGTGAGGTGCAAAGTCAAGAAAGCGTAGACGACGCGCGCGATCCTTGTTATTATTTGTTCATGCATTTGCTCATCGCATTCTTATCATACCAGGAACGGGTTCCAACAGAAATAACTCGTATCTACAGTGCGACAGAGTAGTGAATGAGCGAGTGTGAAAGAGAACGAAAGCGAGCACCTGTTTCCATCCTTTGCCCCCATCATCAAATCTATATTTCTTTTTGGTTTGTCTGTTTTTTTTTTTGTTGTTGGCATCGTTAATTAATTTGTAGGTAATTAGTGGCAGCTGTGCGCGCGTAGAGACAATGCCTCATAAAGAATGGACTACAATCGGCTAGTGAAGAGGGCCGCAGCAGCACCGATCCTGCTCTTACTGCTAATACTGTTGTTCGCGCCCGGAATCAACAGCAGTAACAATTATCGCCATGGAAGAAGCCACGAGGATGAGCACCAACCAGGGTGCTCGAGGAACAATACCACGTCCCTGCAGTGCTGGGACACCGTCTTCGAGAACGTCCTGGACATTCCCGAAGATGTCACCCACCTAATCTTAATAAACGCGACGGTGACGAAGCGTTTCAACGCTTCGAACCTCCATCAGTTGGAATGGAGGAACAGCCTGGTGAACACCTCGTTGATAGCGAATCCCCGTTCACTGGTCAACCTGGATATCAGCCACAACGACATTCGCACCCTCGTACCTTATCAGTTCATGAGCTACGTGAGCTTGCGAACCATGAACCTATCCAAGAACAACATCGATGATCTTCCACGCAACGTGTTCGTGAACGTGTCCATGGTGGACAGACTGTGTCTGGCTCACAACAGCCTCCACGCACTACCGTTCCAAGTTTTTGCGCCGATGGGTAACCTGCACATCTTGGATCTATCGCATAACTACATCGTCACGCTGCTCGATCACTTCTTCAAATTCAACAAGTACATCGAAATCCTCCTCTTGAACGACAATAGGATCGTTAAACTGACGTCGAACGCTCTCGCCGACTTGACGGATCTGCGTGAATTGAATCTGTCTAACAACTCGTTGGGCACAGTCTCGAAGGGCCTCTTCGACTCCCTGAACAAGTTGGAATACTTAAACCTGGCCAATAATCCGATCCTAAATATTGCGAGCGGAACCTTCAGAGGTCTGCACAATCTGCAGCGTCTCGATTTGAGCGACAATCGGCTTAAGTATCTAACTTACGGCATTTTTCACTTCAGTCAGAGGATCAAGACTTTAAGGCTAGACAACACCATGATCGAGATCTTAAGGAATACAGAACTATTGGGTCTACCCGAATTGGAGCATCTGAGCATCAGAAACAACAAGATGCTTACAGAGATCGAGACGTATGCTTTAGCTGATACGCCAAATATACGTAACTTGGATATAAGCGGCAATGCACTTACGTTCCTGCCATTAACTCTTGCCAATCTGACGCGTCTGAAGGCGTTAAACATCAGTGATAATCCGTGGGCCTGTGACTGCCGCATGTTTTGGTTCGGTCCATGGGCAGAGAGCAAGAGGGCCATGAATCTTACATTGTCAGATCTCAGCTGCGGTCCCTACGCTTATCCCAATGACATGATTCCGACTCTGCAACATTTGAATTGCACCGGCCCGAGGATAATGTACAAAACTCCGACGAGTCTGTACAGACTGAAGAGCAACGCGTTGCTGGAGTGCCGATACTCTGCAAATCCACCGCCTTCCATAACGTGGGTCACACCGACGCGCGAGGTCTACCATTGGAATCCGGATCCTTCTGTTGCGGACATCTTCCACAAGCATCCGCACGCTCACAATCAGCACCTCGAGCCCATGAGGAACATTCCGCCGCGCATTCAGATTTTGGATAACGGCACCCTCTTTATTATCAACGTAACACGCGCGGATTGTGGCAGGTACACCTGCTACGCTAGCAATCCGGTGGCCAACGAAACATCGGACGTGCTCTTGCACATCGACCCTACCGATTGGAACCACATCAAGATCCTCAGTATCTTCGTGGGGTTGCAGTGCGCTGCCACCTTCCTGGCACTCACACTGCTCATACAGTTCTTGCGTTACATCCTCAACAAGTGAGTGTTTTGCCATCTGCAATGCGGCGTGCGTATTCTACGACTTGCTTTTTATTATGTGTGCTCTCATTTCAGATTGGGAATACTAAACAGTTGCTGCAGTTTCTGCAGGCGCGAACGGATCCCGCCGCGTGCCCGCCAGATTTACGATCTCCTCGACAATATTGAACAGTACAAGTCGCAGCAGCTGGAGAAGCTACGCGAAAACTACACGCAGCAGGTACATATATTATTCCCCACACTAACTCTCTTTTCTATTTTGTTTGCTTTGAATTATCTTGTTTAGGTTCATCGGATCAAAGACAATTGTACCCAGCAAGTGGAATGGATTCAAAACAGCTACCAAGCGCAGGCTAAGCACCTGAAGGACTTCCGGGACGCAGGCACGCAGCATCTGACGACTTTGCGATGCCAATACCACGATCAGGTAATGATGAATGTTTAATCATTTGATTTGTGCGTTTTATATCTTTTCTTCTTCTTCAATTTTTGTATTATTTAGGTTCGCAAGGTGCGCGATTATTCAACGGGTCAACTAAATTGGGTGCGCGAGAACTACATCTTCCAGAGAAATAAGATCCGAAAGTTCAGCGCGCACAAAGTACTGCAGCTGAGGGAAACTTACAAATACCAGCAGCAGAATTTGAACCGCGTGTTGGAGAACTTGCCCAGCTTGTACTTCGAGAACTGCCGTGCTGGTACTTGCGGCCAGGCCGATTCCATCGTATTCGATCCCAACGACATGGACAGCATCGACATGTACATCAAGACGAAGATCGAGCGGCTGACCATCATCGATGATCCCACCGAGGGCATTCTGCAGAGCAAGCTGTCGCTGTACTATACACCTACGGAGAGATCCTTGGGATCGAAAATAGTGGACGACGAGTTGGCTGGAGTGCACATCAACTATATCGAGAACAAGCCGATGGTGCCGGCTCTCAAGTACGAGCCTTTGATGTTCGCAGCGGTGCACAAGGACATCGCGAAAAAGATGAAGATGACTGTCAGCTCGAGCGACATCCACAAGGTGCAAGATGATTCTGAACCACAGCAGAGCACCAGCATGCCAGATCTGAGCAGTAACAAGGCGTCACCATCACATATCACCACCACCAACAGCAACGACGAAGACGATTGCCCCGAGACGTCCTTGTAACGAAAGTGAGTAGAGTTCGCCATCGCAAACAAACAACAACAGAGTATATTATAAATGATGAATAAACAAACCGAAATCCCATTAGTGCCAATAGATAGACAAACACGAAACTAAGAGAGAAACGGAAATGGAATATTAAGAAGTATTGTTGTACCTTTAAGAAATTAAATAAATAAATTTTCACGTAATACTTTGAAACGGATTAGTGCTGAACCTTACTAACTACTAAATATAAATATCTGCATAGAAAAAAAGAGGACGTGGTTAATTTTTAGTCGGCACTTTTAACTATGAATTGTTATTAAAACGCAGACGAAGAGAAAAAAAATTGCACACATCTAATATACACATTCACATACACACACACATACACAAGACTGAGAAATGTATCAAATTTGATGATGACGACGAGATATGTAATAACGCAATGACCCTAAGAGAATTTTATATATTAATTATTTTGATTACGTTATTATAAAATTAACTGCGCTATTTTCTTTATGGAATTTGAATGTTCTATTTTCGAGATAAAATCAATTTAAAAACTAACAACAAACAAAAATAACAACATTGAAGGAATGAAAATTACACGGGAAGCGGCCGAGTTTTTGTTTGGAACCTCTTCTTCGCAAATCATGTTAAAACACAGACAGGGTAGACAGCGTGCAGAATTAAACGAGAACGAAACAAAAATGAATCTCGTGTAATTTTGCTTTATGATGTTAGTGACAAAAAAAAATGTATATGCTAGATAATAAGTAAATTAATTAATTAATACGTAGTGAGATAATAATAATGTGTTTAGCCAGTAAATTGGCGAAAATATATAAATGTATGTATAGAGAAAGAGTAATCTTATTTTTTTAGATGCGGAATTCGGTGTTGAGATTCCTAAGTCCGAATGGTATATATCTACATACATACAATAATGAATAGTTATAGGCGTACGCTCTGTGGTTCTTTGTTTCAGTTAGGGATATTAAAGTAAATACAACTCTTAAGATAATAAAATTGATTATGATACTTCTCCGATTTCTTCCAATTGTATAACTTTTCGCGCTCCCTCTAATAGTGTTGTTGTATATTAATAATATATACCTATTGTGTAACTTTTTGAAGCAAAATAAGCGTATGCATATAATATGTTATGGAAAGAGAGTACTATATATACATGATACTTTAAGCGGGTACCAATCAGATGGTGATGATAATGATATACAACTATTTTTCTTATGAAGCGTGTTTCTTGTTAACGTTGTATGTATATTGTGATTACTACTTCTGTTTTAGATGTATAAAATAATTAGCATGTATTTGTTACTCATTAATAAAAACAATTAAAAAAAAAACAACAACAAAACCCGACTTTTTGTTCCTATTGCTATAATCGATATTTACCATGAATACGCTTGTAAATAATGAATGGATGAAGTAGAGATGTCGCTTACCTTTTTGTCCGTCCTGTTCCATATGTTGACTTTGTGCCCAGAATAGATTAGGTTCTTGACTATACCCGAACCCATAATTCCCAGACCGAGGAAGCCGAATGTCTTCGTAGAAGCTTCGATTTTCTTCTTCTTCATGTTATCGGATATATTGGTTAGGTCAACCATTGGCGATTCCTGTGGGGAAAAAGTCACATTAGGCGCGTAATCAGAAGGTTCAAAAAAATACGCTCGTCAAGATTTACTGCAGAGTGTATACCTAGGATCCTGTGTTTCGAATAATTCATAAAACCCGGATAAATTTCAGATTTTACGTTTTATTCGAACCTAAATTCGACTAGTTTCCATCGAAATTTTAATCATTTTGCTTATTTCAATGAAACACTAGATTAACAAAAGTTGTACAACATTTGCCAGCAGATTACTGTTGAAATCTTTTTCATTGAAACTTATGAATATTTACAGTTTTTCCTAGAGAAAGAAATGAACATGCTATTAAATTAAAATAATGTTTTTTTATATTATATATATACAGTGGAACCTCGTTTAACGAGAATAATCCGTTCCCCATATAAAGTAATGTAAAATACAATAATGCGTTCCATGTCGGAACAAAAAGTAAAACTTTGTCTCGTTGTTTAATGATATTTCTATTCATAACTATGGTTATTTTTATTCTTTCGCGTTTTAATATAAAAATACAAATATGTGAACAAAAGTTTTGAAAATGATGTAGCAGGCGCACAATCTGAGACTTCTCCTTTCCTCACTCACTCGTTATGCGAAACGTCGCTCGTTAAGCGAGTCATTTTTACAATTTATTTTGCTCGTTAAGCGAAGTTATTATAGTTAATGTTGAATGAATTTATGATTTTTATTTGTCACATTTTCCGTCCGCAAAGAAAACTTGTAGTTTTTATGAATGAAAACAAAAAGATACTTTTTGAAGTAATCTGATCAACCCTGGTCACTTCGCACATACATCTAAATATGCGGTGGAAAGTGTATTACGTAAGAAACGCGCAAATCGAGATCGTAAATAGAAGATTTAACCACCAAATTCAAGCAAAGAAATTTACATTGATTCATGGGAACCGCACACAATTTAAATGCACCGTATGTAAGCAGCAAGCATGATTACAATTATGCAATCTTTCTAGAATTATGGTAAAACTTCCTTTTCATTTTCTTATTAAAAATATAAATAAACAAAGACATTTATAAAAAAAATATAAATAAATAGGATGCAAGTCAACTTTCCAATTTTAAGTGAGTATAAAAACCTACAATATACTGGTGCAGTGTTTTTGATTTTCACCGATGAGCCATGAAAATATGTAATTAATTTGTTTTCCAAGAAAGTTCGAAGCACTATAAAAGTTTACACAGGAAAATTAAATTACCATCATGATTTAAGTGTGCCGCGGAAATTTAAGTTTCCGTGCCGTGAGATCAAAGATTTATTGGATTAAATATCGGTTTTAACTTTAAATGAAAAGCGTAATCAACACGACACTTTACTGGTACTGAATTAATTAGTAAATGAACAATTTCCATAAAATGACGATTCAAATTTATGTTTATAAAATTTCTCAAATATAAAGAAATTATAACAGGAATTTGCATCCAAGACTCGCTGTGGGATATTTTCAGAACCCCAACTTTTAGTAATATTTTGACTTTACAGAAAGCGCTAATTACATATTAACAAGTATACAAAAGGTAAAACAAATCACCTAAGCATAATCTTTTACGCGGTCCCATAATGAATGTAAATTTAGTTCTTTACAGTTTAAAGGATATTTAGCACTCTTTTTTTGCGAATTCAATTTTGCTATCACCTTAAATGCAGAATTTAATTTATATGAGGGGACATAAATATTTGTTTGTCCTTCAACAACACTTCAAAAAGTTGTTCGTTTTCGAAAAATCAAGAATATTCAACTATATGATATCACATTTAATGTAATGGATGGAAATAATTAAATTTTGTAGTAAAAGCTAAATGATATTTGATCAAGAAATTTGTAACAAAAATGATGCAACAGGTGGCAATAAATTCTTGACATAGGTTATTGCAAACTAATGATAATGAACTGATCTTTAAATTACTCGTAGATGTATATGAAAAATTGATGGTGACATTTTACAGTGATCAAATGTTTATATAATAAGAGAATATAAATAAAAAAGTAAACTTACAACTGCATCAGTCACTGACGGTCTATTTAGAATTTCGTGATAATTTTTGATCCGATTGCTACTGGTGGTGTACGAAGGCGTCGCTCCGTTCTCCTCCGGCGTCGTAGCGCGTTTCTTCTTCGGCGTCATATTTTTACTGGCAGAAGATGGTCTCTTTACGCCCTGCGACTGCAAATAAAATACATAAACAGGCATCAGCAATCGTTCAAAGTGCACAAATGATCATCGAATACCGACCTTCTTGGGTTTTGGTTTTGGCGTGATCTTCTCCTCCTCGTCCTCGACCATGAGCTTGTCGAACTCACCGTCCATATCCTCCTCAGTGTCCGGATCATATTTCGGATTCTCCTGCAAAGCAAAGGACGCATCCAACAATTAAGCACCGTTCGTACTTTTCTTCATTTCATACGACTTACCTCCTTCATGACCATGTATCTTTCGATGTCGCTCACGGCTTCTTTGAAGGCAGTACTCTTGCTAGAGTTGATGAGCTTCTCCTTGTATTGTTCGTACGGCTTGATATTGGCGTCGTCGATCCAAGCGCTATTGAAGGGTGACAAGCAGAAGGGGGATATAAGAATTGTGTCGGGATTAAGTTAATGCAACGCGCATGAAATTTCGACCGCTACTCACTAATTGTTGGTTCCGTAGAAGTAGACGCACTGGATGTTCATCTTCTTCGCCGGTTTCTTGATGTAACTCTGAGGCTTGGCAATCTGCAAGAACACAGAAAGGGAACGCAATTAGCACATGCTAGTTGTTTACAATGGAGGAAGGAAGAAGTGCGAGGAGCGAGAGAATCATTTTGAATGGAACGTTTACGAATGAATGAAACATAGTATTCATACAATAAACAGAATTATATAAGAAATTTTATACAAACCCTAAGTTAAAGATAATTAAACTAGATGACTTGTGACAAAATCACTACAAGAATATTTATCAAGCAGATTACCTGAAACTGCCAGTATTTACCGATCATTAGATTCAATAGAATATATTATTATAGGGGAAAGTCCCTCGAAACATATAACCTGAAAGTTTTTTATGTGTCTACTTTCGCTGCAATATTACCCCTCATTCTGCGGGTGCTTATCGGAAAAAGTTGTTTGCATTTATAAGTACTTGGACCCTACCAAATTGAAGACAATGCATTTTGGCGGGAAAAGGTAGATCATCCAATGTTCAACATGCATCAAAGTACTTTCACTTTTCAAAATAATGATTTTCTGTGCATATAGTATACTAATAAAATGTCAATCAAATGTTGATGTTTCAGCGAATAAATTGTCATTCTAGTCATTATTTATATATAAAAAACCAATAATTTTAATAAATTATTAAAACTTTATAAATAGAGTTTTGGATCCAGCTAGTTTTACATAATAATACATTATTTCAACTTTTGACATGTCTTCAAAAAATTTTATTTTGCAAATTGAAATTTTCGTATTTTTGAAATTTTATGAAATATATTTTCATATAAGATGTTTAATAATAAAAAAAAAATATATAAAATTTGTAATAAAACTGATAAAGTAAACACTAGTTTCGTACTTAAATTTTACATTAAAATGATTTTAGAAGAAAAACATGTTTTAAACAATTAACAAGATTAAATAATGACATTTCAATTTTATAACAGAACAAACTAAAGTCAGCTTAAATTGATTACTAATTAATAAAAATATTTCAAATATTTTGTTAGATAATTAATCTTTAAATATTATCTTTCATACAAAACACGATTTTTTCATTAATTGCATATAAATTTTATAACTAAGGATTTACTAGAACTTTTGAAAATGTGATAGTTATCTTCAAAGCATCTAAAATTTTGCTTTAAGAAAAATACAAAAATCAGTTAAAAGTGATGTTAAGACAATAACTTTACAAAGTTGAACTTTGAAAAGTGTCATTTGTCAAAAATAAAATTAAATAACTTTTTCATTTGTTTAACTATAAGGAAATTACTTGATATGTATTCATCGATAAACGTCATATAAAGTTAAGTGATATTTTTTGATAAACGTGATATTAAGGTAACTTACTTGAATGATTGAAACATTTAATTTAATGGGCAACATTTGTAGACAGTTTGAAAATCCAAATGTCAATAGTTGAAACATGGAGCTTCATTTTTGAGAAAAGTTTATTCAATCTAGAAAATTGTTTTAGTATGAATTCACTAAAAATGATGTTGTTGCTGTATTCTAATTATGTTGCACATATGTCAAATTCAGTTTTAAATCCTTTTCTCTGCACTTTACAAATAATTTTTTATATGGAATATATTCATGAAACTTAGAAAATGTCAGTTTTGACAATTGAAAGCATCGCTTTTCTTCTTTACTAATATTTTGTTATGAGTCTACTACTAAAGCTAAAATTGTACGGTCTTAGATAGAAACGTAAGAATTTAAATCAGAAGTGTTACGTGTGTAAAATGATCATTTGACGTTTACTCTTAAACATTTGTTTTTGACGTTTCCCTGTATGTTGTATTATATAGCAAGTTGATAAATATGTTTCACTGAATGCTAAAGTTTGTAAAGCTGAAAACCAGCAAAGTTTGCGTTATTTAAGAGAACGACTAATGCCAAAAAATGTAAATCCTGTACGAAGTTTCTTTTGTTTTCGTTCGATTTTTTTTTGGAGGGAAAAAGACTTGGAGTCTCGTGATTTACTTGGCGCGTTTTATATACCAACAAACTAAAACAAAAAAAAAACGAAACAAACAAACTTAAGTGGAAAAGGAGGAAGCGTTTAGGTATTGTATGTTGTGTGCGTTTGGAAATGGGGGGTACAATGCCGTCGTTTACACTGCAAGTTGCGCAATACGAAGGCCGTGCTTTGGTAGCGACATCGGGTCGCAGGGCCCGGGGGGGGCAAGGTTCCCCCGAGCGACGCCAAAAAGTTAGGTTATGATCACGTCTCGGCCCCAGTAGTCGCAGCGACGCCCAATCGTGCCACAATCGCAACGAGAAAACACACAAGAGTCCACCATTCCTCCTACTATGAACGTTCGAAGATTTTGATGCGTGGCGCAAATGGCAAACTTTCCTCGACATCTTCATCAAAATGAATGAATGAATGAATGACGAGAGGGATGATGAATTCAGCGCGCGGGTTTAGGAATTCGTATTTCGTATTATAAAACGCGAACAGAGCTGCGTGCGTTTGCGCAGATTACAGTGTAAACGGTTGGTGGAAACGAATGTGGCGGCTGCTTTCAATACTCACTCGGCCTGGCCACGGACAAAATCCCTTCATCTTGGCCCTGAAATTAGACGCGTTTCGGTGATTAGACTTTTCGCCCTTCCCGCACTTTCAAATCCAGTACTCACCACACCAGATCTCCAAGTTTGAATTCCTCCGACATAGCAGCACCTCACTATACGACACTAGACTCACGAATGGCCAAAATAATGTTTATAGCGCGCTTGTATACAAATCGGTGGTGGGGGCAATAACACCTCTCGCTCGCACTCACAGCCAAACACGCATACCAACTTAAAACTTGACCCACGAACATATGCTCTTCGCAAACATCTTAGAAATCTTATTACATCTCACTTATTCAACAAAATAAGATTAAACCAATCCAAAAATCATAAAAAATAAACTCATAAGCATCTTCTGTACCATAAAAATGAAATTATCCACAATCAAAAGCACACGCACTCAACATGCTGCAACCAATCCTACACATCAGCAATCAAATCCAAAATAAATTTATAAACACCATTTAAACCTTACAAGATCTTAGCGACATTCAGTTAATACATTTTTAATAATAATATGTATCGAAATAATCACAAACAAACCAATACAAAAATTAAAACGTTTTTCTAAAATAATAAAAAGTAATTGACCGTAAGTCTTAAATAATTTAACAACAGTTTTAAAAATATTTTAAGTGTTAATTCTAAAGAAAACATTAAAATAATTCCTAAATTTGATTAATTAATGAAATAAAAATGAGTTTTCTGTTTTCATGAAATATAAAAATGATCATTGTTGTATGCAACCAATCTATCAAAATTTTAAAATTTAAATTTTACCTATAATTATATACAAATTTACAACTGTTTTAATTAAAAATAATTATACATAAAAGTATATTTGTATATAATTAACATTATAAGCTTGAAATTATGTCTATTCAATCAATAATTTCCTAATAATTAATATATTAAATATTGTTATATTTTAACGTTTTATATATTATAATTAAAGCAGAACTAAACAATTTATATAAGTGCAAAACAATATTTATCTTTTAGAAATTGTAAATATAATACAAAATTACTAAAAGTCTCACGAAAAGTGTATGATTAAAATCTGATTTACAAATAGCTCTAAAAATTATCATTTGGATATAATCTAAAGGGAAAGAAAATTGAAATGAAAGAACTCCATGTTATATGTGTAATTTGTCAATCATAATTAGTGTAAAGCTACAGATAGTTCGTTTTAGAATATAAATAATAGAGTTTTACATAGGCAACGATTGTTACAGATTTTAAAAGAACTACCAACATGAAACAAATAAATTTAAATATTTCCTTATTTATTAAAATTTTTCAGTGTTCTTATAATATTGCTTATAATTAAATATATAAAATCTTGCAAATTCTTTACTTAGTGATAGTTAATGATTTTTGGAAGATTATGTTTCTCATTTATATAGGCAACCAAATAGTCTACCAAATCACTCCAAATCGTTCGTGAAAATAATGATAATTGTTTATTAAATAAGGTTCAAATCCACATTAGAATAAAATTTCTTTGTATTAAAATCCCGTTTTATGTAAAATGTGCAGTCAATATGTTCATTGGATCCTAATTTTTCGAGCTGCCAGGTACACGGATTATATAGAAATGTTTGCCTGTTTGAAATACAGGTAGTCATAACAATACTTGAGAATAGCCAAGAAATGTTCATGTACTATAGTTGGTAAATGTAGGTTCTAATTAATAAATTTGCTTTCCGATATTAATTATTTAATATATAGATATGACTATTGTTGTTGTCCAAGCATTTAACAAGATTTTAATGAACTTTAAATGATCATAGTCAAACATTAAAATACAGCAAACTCTAATCACTATGAACTTTAGTAGTAATGTTTAGAGTTTGTTTTGAAATTTTAGTAATTATTTATTAACGATTCAACGGAAATCGTAAATCATATTAGCTGTATATTAATGATTTTTTAATACATAGAATTAATATTTGAATTAACTAAAATGTTATAGCATAAACATGAACAAATAATTTTATATTCAGCTTAACTCATTAGGCACCTGTAAATTGTGCATAAATTCTTTAACAATTTATCACCAGTTTTCATTCAAATTTGGTAATATTTAAAAGATTTTAAGTAGATTTGGTTGCATAAGCATAGTATTCTGAAAATTATATGCAAAAATTGTTACGAGTATCTGAAAAATGTGTATCTAATCAAGTGTTTACATGTATACAAATATTTGGGGGATCAGTTTTGTAAATCTTGATCTTTTTTCTTATTTTTTTTTTAATATAAATTCTAGGAGTCAATAACACGTGCAGGTTGATAAACTTAGCGATTCTAAATGTATCTAAATCGAAGCATTCTGGAATGGTAAAACTATTCGCGCTCACTTCTACCAATGGGATTTAATGGCGCCGAGGAGGAGGAGAAATGGACGTCGCTGAAACATCGTCACCGCGCCCAATGGAACAGTGATCAAATACCGGAAGTGCTCTATCATAAATTGGTATATATTTACACAAGTGTACGTGAGGAATTGAAGAGGAAGCCTTGCTTTAATCGGCATTATCAGTGCTATCGTCATGGGCCTTCTTATCTGGATATGATAAGTGTTATCGAAAAAGGGATAAAGGACATTCGATAATTGCACCTGACTATTGTGCTCCTGTGTCCAACAAGTATGGATGAGGGAACTCTGAATGATCTGCTCGAGTGTTCAGTGTGTTTGGAGAGACTGGACACCTCGAGCAAGGTGCTACCATGTCAGCACACCTTTTGCAAGAAGTGCCTGAATGAGATTGTGGAGAGCCATAAAGAACTGAGGTGCCCAGAGTGCAGGATACTTGTGCCTATTAAAGTGGATGAACTCCCACCCAATGTACTGCTAATGCGGCTACTGGAGGGTATGCGAAATGCAGCACCCAAGAAAGTGCATAGGAACAATGCCCATAATGCTGTTCCAAATGCAGTTCCGATGGCTCCTATGCAACAGCAGCAGCAGCACCATCATCACCATCACAGCACTTTTAACCATCGCCATAAGAGTAATAAACAGTTGACACCTCTAGCCCCACACCAGGCCTACGCCAAGGCATTGTATAATTTCATTTCAAAAGAACCTGGGTATAGTTTGCTAATGTACTCTGTCACTGGCTGTATATTCATAGAGAAAATTTATTTTATTTCAGTGATTTGAACTTCAAGAGGGATGAGATTATCATGCTGAGGAAACGTGTTGACTCATATTGGTATGAGGGTGAGTGCGGTGGCAAGAAAGGAGTATTTCCCATCAATTTTGTGCAGGTAATTGCATGACTCATTCCATGTCTATAAATAATTCATTAATTGTCCATATGATAACTGTGTATATCAGGACAAAACAATTTGATATTGAAATTCATAGACCCATAAATAATGATGTTGTTAAATTCTTTTGGTTTTAATTATAATACATTATTATATATTAAATTGTCAATTGATATCACTATTTATCAACCTTGATTTGAATTTATTTCTAAATACAAATTCAATTTTAATATTTTATTTCAATTGAATGAAATTATTTGTAGATCATAACTCCGGTGCCAAGTAATATACCACAGTGCAAAGCTCTATACGATTTCCGCATGACCAATGATGAAGAGGAAGGTTGTCTGGTGTTCAACAAGGGCGACATCATCACCGTCATAAGAAGAGTGGACGAGAACTGGGCTGAGGGGAAGTTGGATGGGCGCATAGGTATCTTCCCGTTGGCTTTTGTCGAGCTGAACAACCTGGCTAGGTCTTTGATGAAGTTGTCCACCAAGTAAATGTTATTTTGGTGTTATTCTGATGGACCGATTATTAACCGAAACTCCTTTGCAGCGCTCAACCAGGACCATCGAGGGTAGCTCCTCCGACACCGACCACCGAAGATAGCGCTCCTCTGATTCCCACAGATCATTCGAGGACGATGGGCAGCGTCCATCTGGCGCAACCGAACACTCCCAAACACGTTGCAGGAAATCCTCCAGCTGCTGCTGCGGGTCTACCTACCTCCGATTCGAGCTCCACGGTGAGTTCCGGAACTAGTTCGACGACTACAACTCCGAACACCTCTTCGAGCAACACGTCTTCCAGCTCCAGCACAGCTCCGTCATCTCCGGCCTCTCCGCCGACCAGAGCAGCCGCTGTCAACAGAGCACAGTAAGTCTATCTACATCTTTCATTGTACACTTCCTTCTTGAGACATCTCTTTTGCTATAATATTGCAATGTTATTTCTGTAGAAAACATGATCAAGGTATGGTGTCGACTCCTCAACGGCAACCACCACCAGCCCATTTGTCGCCACACCAGAGCAGAGAGAAACGACACAGTTTCACCTCACTTACGGTGCCGCAGCAGCCGAGTAGCACGTATCGCCATTCCGCAGAGATCCTCTGCACCGAAGGAGCGGAATCCGCTTCGCCAGTATCAGAACGACATCGCCGAAATCTAGTGGATACTATACAACTTCCAGCCGCATACATCGCTCTCTATCCGTACAAGCCGCAGAAGGCGGACGAGCTGGAGCTGCGCAAGGGCGGCATCTACACGGTGACTGAGAAGTGTCAGGATGGATGGTTCAAGGGTACCTCGAACCGGACCCAGAAAAGCGGAGTATTCCCCGGAAACTACGTAACACCGGCGTCGGCCCCACGCAGCCCACAGACCCAGAACTCATCCGATTCGAAATCCGCAGTAAGTTATACGCGCAGCAAGGGTGGATCGCGCAATTCGAATCTACCGCCGGAGTTGCCACCGCGCTCGACGAGCCCTAACGCTATATCCTCCAGCTGGCACGGACAGCAGGATAACACGGCCGCGCCGCTGGGACGTTCCAGCAGCGCCGCTCTCATGTCCACGGTCAATCTAACTCTCACCTACTCCAAAGCTTCAGAAAAGGTGTGTTTTCGTTTTGTTTCTGCCACGCTTCATTCAACTTGTTTTCTGTTGCATTGCTCGTTGTGTTGTTCTCGTTATGTCTGCAAGTGTTGATTTTCAGCAGCCCAAGGAGCGGAAGGAGAAGAGCAGCAGCAGCACCGTCGGTATGATGAAACGGCTGGCGAGCTTCAAGCGATCCAAATCGCCGCCCCCACCTTCATATTCCATGGATAATCCTGTTTTCGAGGACGCCGCTGTTTCGTCCACTTCCACCTTACAACCTGTGCACGTTCGGTAACTATTGTCGATCCATGTGTTTGCATGTTTGCTTTTTATCCCAGTGTTTTTAAACATTATACAAGATCTCATGATTCTAATCGCACTGTTGAAGCTATTTTTATTGAAAAGTTCATCATTTAAAATAATTTATTTCGATATTTGTGCATTTGAATCATGGGACACAATTGCAACCCCGATCCATCTCCCCTATATGTTGTATTCGTCTGTTCAGGTCTGGCTCATGTCCAAGTCAACTGCTGCAAGTTCAGCCCATGATCGAGCAAACTCATCGAATGTTCCAAAGCACTTCGCAGCGGCTTAAGCATAAAGAAAGAGCTAGCATCCTAGCGCACAGTCCCAGGTCTGTTTTCCCCCCATCTTTACTAACAATCTACACTCACACACTTCGGCTTAATTTATTCGAATTTCACTACTAGGTACATTAATGCGTGGATATTTTTTTACTAACAATCTAATGTTAGAAATACGCAAATATTGGCAACGTTTAAATATTTATTTTTACTCGATATAAATGTGTTTAAAAAAGGTATGATAAGTTTTACGCTCTTCGAAATATTTACTTATCATCATTTACGAATTATTCAATCGCAGTATTAAAGCTATTCTTATTGAATAGCCTGTCAATGTTAAAGATTGTTTGTTTTGTTTGTTTTTGTAGAAGTGAGCCGCAGCCATCTAGCAATTCGGCCACGTCCAGCCCGAACGTCCACCATCACCGGAAGTCGCACTCTCTGGACGCCGGAAACAAGGCTAAAACGGGCACGCAGACGGTGCGCGAACGCTTCCGGTGCATAGCTCCGTATCCTCCCAACAGCGAGTACGAACTGGAGTTGCAGGTGAACGACATCATCTACGTGCATAAAAAGCGCGACGACGGTTGGTACAAGGGAACGCAGCAGAGGACCGGCAGGACCGGATTGTTTCCTGCAAGCTTCGTCGAGAGCTATTAACGAACACCGAAGAGGCTCTTCGAAAACAAGCAAGGAGTCTTTTACTATCGTCTGATTTCGTTTAGTTGTTCATTTGTTTAGGACGTGTGGAAACTGTGTGCCTGATGTAGAGAGTATAAGATCCGAGACGAGGTAGCGGTTATGATTTTATCTTTATTATTATTTTTAGTTTTTTCATTAATCAATTTTTGTTAATGATTTTGCTTCAACAGCACAAAAAGAGCTGAAATTAACAAACAAACAAAAAAATGAAATTCGTAAAACCGAACTAATTTATAATGAGCGTATATGACATGACATACACTTTCTCTAACTTATATTTATCCTAATTAATATATATATAAAACAACATATGATGTAATGTGTTCAGGAATGCGCTTCGTAACTATATTATTATATAATATCGATACATTATTTATGCACTAACTATTAACACTACTTTCCTACTATCTATTGTTACCTTTAATATATTTTCGTGGTGATGGAATTTAATTACAATAATTAAATGAGTGCGTTTTTATATGAGCATTACTGTCGAGGAAATCTCTTAAATAAACGCGAACTTTACACGCAGAATAACAAATTTGTCAATGTAAAACAAAAAGTCCGTCAAGTGAACGATAATTTTCCAAACTTTAAATTATTTCGCATTGAACTGATTCTCTTCAGTTATAAATTTTAATACTATCCGTTAATTTGCTATGGTTGTTTCTGTTTTGGGCTATATTTGATTGTCTTGTGGCTTATGGAAATGTATGAAAAAAAAAGTGAGATAGATTTGCAACTGTTTGGATTTATGTTTATTGGCTTTTCTTCACGAACGGCTCATATTTATATATTTATTTATTTAACCAATTGTATTGATTACTGTGAATTAATTGGACTGAGTGTAAAAGAAACGGACACGTAGACGAACATAGTTTTTTATACGAAATGCGCGAGCGAATAATAATCCTGTTTATATATTAACTTGAAATTCGATAATAAATTGTGTATTAATACAAATGCCCGTCGTTTCCTTAATCGGTTCGTTGCATCGTTCAACAATATGATGACTTAACTATTTACGCGCAATAAGAAATGTTTATGCGACAAATTCGAAACACGTTCTAAAAGTTCTTCAATTATTGAAAACTTTTGATTACAAAATGCTGTTTTTTTTTAATGATAACGTTCAATGATGAAATCTAACTGATATTTGTACATGTTTTTGATCATGTTGAAAAATACACATAACAAATTTATCAGCGTCTTAAGAAATAGCCATGCGCTAAATTGTTTGTTAATATGTTCCATCGTGTAACCTCAAATTTAATAGTAAAGCCGCGCGTGTCGAGTATAAACTTCTCCCGGTTAAGAAGCGCAATTTGTGATATGTCTTTGGAAGATGCCAAAAGGATCGCCGCGTACAAGGCGGTCGATGAGTACATCAAGGATGGAATGGTGATCGGCGTGGGAAGCGGTTCCACGGTGGTTTACGCCGTAGATCGCATTGCTGAACGTACAAAGAACGAGAACCTGAAATTGCAATGCATTCCCACGTCCTTCCAAGCCAGGCAGTTAATCGTCAAGCATAAATTGAACTTGAGCGATTTGGAGATCTGCCCGGCAATCGATGTTTGCATCGACGGAGCCGACGAGGTCGACAAAAACATGACTTTAATCAAAGGTGGAGGCGGGTGCCTGCTGCAGGAGAAGATCGTGGCGAGCTGCGCCAATAAAATGATAATCATCGCCGATTATACGAAGAACTCGAGGCAGCTGGGCGACCAGTACAAGAAGGGCATTCCCATTGAGGTGGTGCCCATGGCCTATGCTCCAATCAAACATCAAATTGAGAGGCAATTTGGTGGAGAGCTTGGTCTGAGGATGGCTATTGCCAAGGCTGGACCTGTTGTCACTGATAATGGCAACTTCATCTTGGATTGGAAGAACTACAAGCAGGACTATGATTGGGCTGAGATTAACAAGAGTATAACCTTGATTCCAGGTGTGGTTGAGACAGGGCTGTTTGTAGGGATGGCAAAGAAGGTGTATTTTGGCCTTGCAGATGGATCTGTCAAGGAGCAAGTTTGATTGTAATTTGTAATAAATAAATGTATTTTTTTTCTTTCTACTTCGCGTTATTTCCCGCACCAGCAGTAGGCGAGGAACTTGAAAAAGAATAGTATAAAATAAATAAAGAAACACAGGAAGATCGCGTAGAGAAAATTGGCGATGAGGTATACGAACATGGTGTTCTCTAATATAGGCTAGTCTTTTTCATGATCCGCAGGAAATCCTCTTGGGTCACCTCCCCGTCCCCATCCCTGTCCGCTTCTTCGATCATCTCCTGCAGCTCCTCATCGGTGAGGTTTTCTCCGAGCTCGGTGGCGACGCGCTTCAGATTGTCGAAGGTGATGCGACCTGTCTCGTCTTCGTCGAATAGCCTGAACGCCTTCATGATCTCCTCTTTGGAATCCTTCTCAGCCATCTTCATGGACATCAGTGTGAGGAAGTTATCAAAGGACAACTTGCCAGAGCCTTCGTGGTCAATCTCAGAGATCATCTTCTTAATCTCCTCTTTCTTGGGCTCAAACCCCAGCGCCCGTATAGCCACCTTCAGCTCTTTCACATCTATCTTACCCACACCCTCGGTGTCAAACAGGTGGAAGGCCTCTCTGATGTCGGTCTTCTGTTCTTCAGTCAATTCAAACTTGGGCCCCAGAGCTCCCTTCCTCACCTTTGACGGCCCACCCTTCAGGGACGACGACGATTGGGCCTTCACCTACGGACAGGACAATTTTCTGTTAACGTCTCCCCATTAAATTATTTTTTTAACAAAAACAAAAAAACTCCACTCACTACTGGATCCATACTCGCACTTGCTGTTTGAAGGGGTAAATCAATAACAATCCAATTCGAATAAACATAAACAAAGTGCAGCCACCATCACAGCAGTTAACACCAGTTAACACCAGATCACCTGTCGTTACCACCTGATGATCATCAATCGAAAATTGCAGAATTCATCCTACAACTTACATCAAAAGCCAATCATCAAATCACAACGAAGTCAAGATCTCTCCCATTGCACCCATTACCATTACCTGTGTTAACCAATTCAAAAGAATCGCCAGATTCCATATTTGAAACTAGGGGAATTTCGTATCCTCAAGTTGCTCCTTTAATTCGTTGTGGCTTTCAGATGATTGTTTCTTCAGTTTCCCGCCGACCGCCATCTGGTATGCGTTGAGCTTTAATTATCAGCAGAAAACAAACAAATTTCACGTGTAGTTGGGGTGTTTGTTGTGCGAAGATATGTCGAAACCCGAGGAGACCATGGAGGTCGCCGAGCCCGGCGAGAATTCGGTAAGTATTTACCTTTCATCATACTGCAATTAGTGTACGAGAAGTCGTGAGAAACATTACACTCATGGTAACGGCCAGAGATGCCGGATCCGCTTCACGCTTAGTTCGTTGACCAACACCTCTAACGTTCCCCAAACTATTCTCGCTCTAACCTAGAAATGCTCTGATTTGTTTGTGTTTCCTCATCAGACGAACAACAGCTCGTCTAGGTAACAACCAACAACAACAATCTTTATTCTTCTTGTTCCAATACAGCCTCTTATTGGTCTCTACCAGGTTTATAATGTGTTACTTCTGTACAACCATCATCTGACATTTCACTTTGACCTATGATTGGAATTTAAGGAAAATCAGAAGAAAATATCAATTAAATCTTGTTGCTGATATTGAAATTTCAAATAGTATAAATTAATTGTTTTATTTTTTCTAATAGCTTCTAGAATGGTTGTCAACCTAATTTGTCATTTGTTTTGCATGGAGGCTATAATTATTATAACATCTTTATGTTGTATATAAATATTTGTTAACTATTAATACTAATTATGTTGAGTTATGCTTATTGTACATTATTGATTTATTTTGTCTATTGTTTTGTTTTGTTAAGCAGAATGGATCGTCCTCTGATACTTCGTCGTCGAGAGGAAAGGGAGAAGATTTCGAGACGAAACTGGAAACGGACAGAGGGAAACGATTCGATTTCTTGCTTAAGCAAACGGAAATCTTTTCGCATTTCATGTCTAGCCAAAACTCGAAAACAACTCCCAAAGGCAAGAAAAGCAAAAAAGGTGGTGGATCCGAAGATACAGTCGAGTAAGTATTGCCTTTTTAGATCGCAAATCCTTCATAATATTAAATAATATTTGATGTTTTGCAGTCATAGACACCGAAAGACCGAACAAGAAGAAGATGAGGAGCTGCTCGCCGAGACCAATGCCAAGACGAAACAAAGCACCAGGTTTGATGTGTCGCCACATTACATCAAGCACGGCGAGATGCGAGACTACCAGATTAGAGGTCTCAACTGGATGGTGTCTCTCTACGACAACGGGATTAACGGAATCTTGGCCGACGAGATGGGTCTGGGTAAAACTCTGCAAACCATATCGCTACTTGGTTACATGAAGCATTACAAGAATATACCGAATCCGCATATTGTGATCGTCCCGAAATCTACGCTTGCCAATTGGATGGCAGAATTCAAGAAGTGGTGTCCCAGTTTGAGGGCGGTCTGCTTGATCGGAGATCAAGAAGCTAGGTCGACGTTCATCCGCGAGGTTTTGATGCCCGGCGAGTGGGACGTATGCGTCACATCGTACGAGATGTGCATAAAAGAAAAGTCCGTTTTCAAGAAGTTCAATTGGCGTTACATGGTCATCGACGAAGCCCACAGGATTAAAAATGAAAAGTCCAAGTTGTCCGAGATCTTGCGCGAGTTCAAAACAACGAATCGTCTATTGTTGACCGGTACTCCGCTCCAGAATAATCTTCACGAACTTTGGGCTTTGTTGAATTTCCTGCTACCCGATGTCTTCAATTCGTCCGACGACTTCGACGCCTGGTTTAACACTAACCAGTGCTTCGGGGATAACTCTCTGGTGGAGCGTCTGCATGCTGTGCTCAAGCCTTTCCTGCTTCGTCGTCTAAAGTCCGAAGTCGAGAAACGATTGAAACCTAAGAAGGAAGTGAAAGTCTATGTTGGATTGAGCAAAATGCAACGCGAATGGTACACTAAAGTCCTGATGAAGGATATCGATATCGTGAATGGCGCTGGAAAGGTTGAGAAAATGCGCTTGCAAAATATTTTGATGCAGCTGAGGAAGTGCAGTAACCACCCTTATCTGTTCGATGGCGCAGAGCCTGGACCACCTTACACCACCGACGAGCATCTTGTCTACAACTCCGGCAAAATGGTGATACTCGACAAATTGCTGCCCAAGTTGCAGGAGCAAGGCTCGCGTGTTTTGATCTTCTCTCAGATGACCAGAATGTTGGACATCCTGGAGGATTACAGCCACTGGAAGGGTTATCAGTATTGCCGATTGGATGGTAACACACCTCACGAGGACAGGCAGCGACAGATCAACGAGTATAACGACGACAACAGTAAAAAGTTTCTGTTCATGCTGTCGACAAGGGCCGGTGGTTTGGGTATCAATTTGGCCACCGCCGATGTGGTCATCATCTACGATTCCGATTGGAATCCCCAGATGGATTTGCAGGCCATGGACAGAGCTCACAGGATTGGACAAAAGAAGCAAGTGCGTGTCTTCAGGTTCATTACGGAGAACACGGTTGAGGAGAAGATTGTCGAACGGGCCGAAGTAAAGTTGCGCCTGGACAAGCTGGTAATTCAGCAGGGACGACTGGTGGACGCTAAAACTGCCCAACTTAACAAAGACGAAATGATCAATATGATCAGACACGGAGCGAACCACGTGTTCGCATCGAAGGATTCTGAGATCACCGACGAAGACATCGACACAATTCTCGAACGTGGAGAATTGAAGGTATTGTTTATTCGATATACAATATATAATTGAAAAACAATAAATAATAAATCTTATATTTTAGACTCAAGAATTGAACCAGAAGATGGAATCTATGGGTGAATCGTCATTGAGAAATTTCACGGTGGACGCGCCTACAGAATCCGTGTATCAGTTTGAGGGAGAGGATTACAGGGAGAAGCAAAAGACCTTAAGTCTTAGTAACTGGATCGAACCCCCGAAGCGCGAGAGGAAAGCCAACTACGCTGTGGACGCCTACTTCAGGGAGGCGTTGCGTGTTTCTGAGCCGAAAGCGCCGAAGGTTAGTATTACCACTATTATTTTTGAGCCTTACAATTATTGTCGGTTTTGTGTATTCTGAATCAGGCGCCCAGACCCCCGAAACAGCCGATTGTGCAAGATTTCCAATTTTTCCCACCACGACTCTTCGAGCTGCTGGACCAGGAGATCTACTTCTACAGAAAGACACTGGGCTACAAGGTGCCCAAAAATATGGAGTTTGGTTCCGAAGCCAATAAGCACCAGAAAGAGGAGCAGAGAAAGATCGATGAATCAGATGCATTGACAGAGGAGGAAGCCGTGGAAAAGGAGAGTTTGTTGACGCAGGGTTTCACCAACTGGTCGAAACGCGATTTCAACCAGTTCATCAAGGCAAACGAGAAGTTCGGCAGAGACGATATCGAGAATATTGCCAAAGATGTGGAAGGAAAGACGCCCGAAGAAGTTATGGAGTACTCGGTGGTTTTCTGGGAACGTTGCCACGAGTTAACAGACATAGACAGGATTATGGCTCAGATCGAGCGCGGTGAAACAAAGATTCAAAGACGCGCAAGCATCAAGAGAGCACTTGAAGCCAAGATGGCCAGGTATAGGGCTCCATTTCACCAGCTGAGGATAGCGTACGGCACCAACAAGGGCAAGAACTACATGGAGGACGAGGACAGGTTCTTGGTGTGCATGCTGCACAAGCTGGGCTTCGATAGGGAGAACGTTTACGAGGAGCTCAGGGCTGCCGTCAGGAACTCACCCCAGTTCAGATTCGATTGGTTCTTGAAGTCGCGAACGGCGATGGAGCTGCAACGGCGTTGCAACACCCTCATCACGCTGATCGAGCGCGAGAACCAGGAGCTAGAGGAGAAGGAACGGGCCGAGAAGAAGAAAAAGAATCCGAAGGCGCAGAACGCGTCGATGCAGGGCGGTCCGAAGACTGGCCAGAAACGCAAGCAGGACTCGATGGGCGGTACCGGTGGGCCAGAGAAGAAGAAAAAGAAAAAATGAGATTCGGCTCCGCCTCCGTGCGAGAAAGACTGCTGTAAGAACCTTTTCCTTTTCGTCTCGAAGAATGAATACATCAAAGCAAAACAGAACGAGTGAAAACAAACAAACAAACAATACTGTGTTATGTAATTTATTTAACAAATTATCCTTGTGTAGTACACCCATTTCTTATATACATTTATTATTAATATCTTTAGATTCCGTTCTTTTAGTTCGTACTTTGTAATATGGATACAATGATTAAAGCGATGGACGATCATCGCCGGTTCACCTTTATTCATTTATTTTTATATTTAGTCCACTTAGAACGTAGATTCAAGCCACTGGATGATGATGGTGGCTATTGTATAAAAGTAGTCAGTATTACAAAGAAAATCGCATGTCGCATTTTCTTTTGGATTGTGTCTCGATTATAAATCACATAGAATAATAGTATGCTTATTCGCAAGCTCGTTAAATTATTGAGACTTTGAAATCATAGTGAATGAAATGGAATGGATGTTCTTTTAAGTTATTTGTGCTGTATTGGTATGGAATCTTATAACTGCAACTAATATTTAAATAACAAAAATAACACGAAAAAAATAATCTATAACTATAATATTGTATTTAGTAGTATAGAACCGTATTCTATATATCGATGTTTGGATGTAAATTGTATGATTAAAATTAGCATGTATTCATGTAAAAATCTCGCAACCTTTCCCCTAAGCACTCATCCTCAAAATAAATAAAAGACCGCGACTGTAAGCGTAAAATATAAATTATACATGTAACAACGAAACACATATGTAGTATCATTAATTATTTACCTAATTACTATACAAATATTCATTTCTTTTTTATCTATACGGCCTACTTTTTGCCACTTTCGTTGCTAGTTGCACAGTGCATTTTATTATTGGTAAGGTTTGAACCTGTTACCATTGTCATATGAGCCGCCCTTTCCAATTATTCATTTAATAACAGTAATTTAAAAGTAATTTGAGTTGCCTACACTTGCATGTAAAATTAAATGAAAAATATACAGGGTGATTAAAGCAATTTTTACAAATCATATTTAAAAATAAGGTTTATCTTTAATCACATTAAATATTCATAGCAAAATTTAAATATACACAAATTCTTAACGAATTCCAAGAGATTGTCTTGATTATGTAATAGCGCGTAATAGGTAGTCGAGTCAGAGATAAAATTGCGATTAAGAAATGTCTGATCTGAGAGGTTACATAATAAACGAAAACTTAAATCCATTAGATTTGGACCACGACACGAGTAAAGCCACTGTAAATATTGTAGCGCAGTTAATTTTAGCTAGAAGGTTAATTAATCGCAGACGAGACGATAGACTGTGATAAAATTATGCAACGAATCCCCTAGAAGAAAGAAACAACAAAAATAAAAGAAAGAGAATAGTAGAAAAACATTTGGGAAGATAATATTTACATACGCAAACGAACAAAAAAAAAGAAGCAAGCCGCGTAATAGTAACCGTGACAACTGTAAAATATAAACGACAAATCTTTGACGTAACTATGGCAATGTGAAATATTTATCTTTATTTTTGATTTTTCGATAAGATTTCCTTTTGTTGTAAGTGAAGTACGTCGATAAGTTGATTAATCTTTTCTATTCGTTTTTACTTATTGTTGTTATTATTATTACGTAGAATTCCGAGAGAGCGCGCACACTTATTTATATACACTTTCCTAAAAATTCTTTTTTTTTTTTTGTAATATTTTATAAATATTTCCAATCCGTTTCGTTCACAGATGATGTTTCGATACTCGCTTTATCAGGGGGGATTTCACGAAATTCGTTGTGGTTTCGTAACAATGTAATCGCGCGTACAACCCGTACATTTTTTTTAAACCTTTCGCGTTACTATCATCATCAACATCATCATTATAATCGCAAATTTTTCTCATCAATTTTCACGAACCACTTGGACTTACAATGGAATCCGATTATCAGATCACTCGACTTCGCGAAATTTCAATTGCTATTGGGCAATGGCATTGGAGGAGCTTGCGAAAACAGAATTAGATTATAAGTAGCCATCACAATTTTTTCTTCTCATTCATTGTTTTACTTTGTTTTCGAAACATTATAATCTAGATTAAACAATGCTATCAACAACTAATAATCATGCTACTGGTAATATCTGCATCATAATCTTGCGAGAAATATTAAATTTAGAAAAAAAAAAACAACTAATATCAATTATATTTCGAAACATGTTGATAGAAAGTTGCAAGTAATGATATAATAATATCAAATTGATGACAAAATCTATTGCTTCACAAAATAAAGCGTATTTGCTCGTGTCAATCGTAGTAAAATTTATTTTTACAAATAGAAACATTTAGAAAAAAAATAAACGTAAACATCAACATGTAAAATTCAAGGATAAACATTAATAAAAAATAATCCTGTAGATTTCATTAGATTATTTTTATAATATTTTAATTTGTAATTCATATTACAAACATCAATCCATGATTTATCAATTATAATTAGGTTAGGATAGGTTATGTTACATAAATTTAAAATAAAATGTAAAAATTAAACAATTTCAATTTAACTTTAGTCAAGTTCATTTATAAGTAAGGCTGTGTTAGGTTATCAATTGGATGTCCGATCCGCATAGGTTAGATAAACACCTTTTACTAGTTCAAATAAAGTTAGGTTAGGTTGGATTAGGTTATGTTAATGGGATACTTTCCAAATATCATTACTGCACTTTTGTACAAATACAGAACTAGTTTTTTTTTGTATTGAGAAATGTTTCGAGACTTTCAACATTTCTTTCTCGCTTAGGAAACAACAACTTAATGAGCATTTACATTCAGGCAAAAGAAATGAAGAGAGCAAAAGGGGGGAACCTCATCGGCAGTTCTTTTCGCCGATAGATGTTTTTAAAAAAAAAACAAGAAGTTCTCTAAAGCAACCGTGTTTTTGGGCTCGCAGAATACCAAGAAACGACGGACCAACCTCTGGGGCGCCCACCCGAAAGTCGTCACTCCGCTAGAAGACAAAAAAAAGGAACAACAACATCGTCAACTTTGCGAAGGATGGACGGATGGAACAGAAACGAGAGTTTGTTAGTTGGTCGTTTCGCTTCAACGAAGTCCACACTCAGCCCCACCAATTTTCCCCCTTTTTACACGCTCCTCCATATGTACACATGTGTTTGTGTGTGTGTCTGTATCTCTCCGATATACAACTCTATATTACACCTGTAACGACGATTCGATTTAGTGCAAAACTCGCGCACTTACTTCATTAGTCCTACTTATATAAGAAGCGGACGCGAGTCGCGACGCGCTCATACTTTTCTTTTGTTTTCATCGTTACGGTCGTTCCGTCGTGGGCCGTCTCTCAAAGTGCGCGAAAAGTTTAGAATTTGTTTCTTTTGGACGCGAGAACAAAAAAAAAATTATATAAAATAATAAACACAAAATACTTTCTCACCCTCAACACACCCTGCATGCATTTGGTGAGTAGTTCATCCCATTGAACATTCAAATTACAATTAGATTTCTTTGCATTACAACCGTAAATGTAAAGAAATTAAATACAGATTTTTTTTAGTTAAAAATTTACAACTAACTATTTTAAATTTAGTAATCATTTAATTAAAAATCAAATTTTTATTCTTTTTTTTTGGTGATTTTTAAACTATCTACTAAATTATTACCTTCACTAAATCAACTTCACTAATTGTGTTAAATTTTACAAGAAAATTGTCACATTTAAACACAAAAAAAAGAAACGAATTTGTATTAATTATTTCATTATTTTTAAATTGTTATAAGATGTAATGCAGCAAAAAATTAATATTTTCTTACATTTGACTAAATCGTAACAATTTGTTTGAAAATAAACAAAAATATTAAAAACAAAATAGCCGACTTTTAATCAATTGTTTTTTTTTATGCGATTATACAAATATTGAAGATGGCCTCTTCTATTTTATGATCGGTTCTCATGAATAACGGTAGTGTTTTTTTTTTTGGTAACTAATTATTCTTTTTCATCGGTTCAATTTTTAAATTAAAAAATAATAATTAACATACTGGTAAAAGTTAAGTGAATGAATTATATTAAATTGCTCACATTTTGTTACATTAGACAATAAAAAAACAATAAAATGTTGAAAATAACAATAATAAAAAAATATTAATATTATTTTGGTATACATCAATTGTTTTCTTACAGTTGTTATATCTTGGAAGGCCATTTTCGAAATTAAAAGCCACCTCGATCTAAATCGAACATGAATACAATGTTACAATTGTTATAAGTACATAAAGAAATTATCAATTATTGCATTGTTAATTGGCGAAAAATGAATTTGCATATTATTTTTTTAAATTTTTGTAACATTTTTTTTTTGTTGTGAATTCTAATCGGCATCATTAAACGAAGCAAACTAAAACCTATGATAGCGACAGTTTTTATTCTCATTTTATCGCAATTTTTATTTCATTTTCGAAGTTGGCAATAAATTATTATTATTGTCAATTAAAACAAACAAAGCAGATGACACTGACAGTTCTCGTCACTTGATTTAAGACGACTTTTTTTTAGCTTTCTTTGAGGTTGGTACGTGGCTGCAATGCAAACGCGTATCAATGAATGAATCACCGCACGCGCGTTTCCAAATTATACACACATTTAAACATTACTAACAACGAAACGATTCACACCGAAACGAACCTGAAAACAGTTGTTTTTATTATCATAAAGTAAAAGAAAATAAATAAAACAAAAATTGAAACAAATGACTTTACCTTCCCAAAATGAAACAATAACAGCTCAAAGTATTTGTAGAGAATGAAAGAAAACCTAATTCTTATACATAATGAACATATTAGTTATGAATTATTTATTTAAATATAAAAAATAGACAACAAATTTTCATATTCATTTGTGCTACTTTCGCACGTCTATTTGTGAACAAAAATAAATTAAAATCCGCATTTCGTTACTGATTTGAACATGGTTAATTAGTGAAAATGTTGACGAACTAAATGTATCGGTAATTTCTGTGTGATAACGCATTTGTTTTCAATTTTTTCGACATAATCACGTTCGTCGACATATGTAACTTGTGTAATTGAAATTGTGTAAGTCGAGACCGGTTTTTTGTTCGTAAATTACTGGTGCATACCTTGAAATCGATTGGATTTCGTTCGTCTTTATTAGTTGTTTTTCTCAGAGCCAACGTTTGGATATCATCGAATTCTCGGTATTTCGGCAAATAAACAGTTACATACGCTAATACTAAATTTACAATTTGCCACATTAAAAAAATACTGTTTTTGACAATGATTAATATTTACATTCAAATAAACAACTTTGTTATAAGTTGTTTATTTGAATCTCAATTAGGTTTAAATTTAAAAAAATGCGGATGTTATTTCTTTCTGTTCTTAAATTTATCGTTTCCATCTTCAATTAGATTACTGCGATTTTAATCGAAGACAATTTTTGCCTCCTCCATGCTGTAACTTGTTTTTGTGTTTACATCACCCAATCCGATCAATTGATCAATTAAAAATTGAATGATGATATCTTAATTCAAAGCAAATAATCGTTCGATGCTCACGAAAATTGCATAAAGATGATCGAACACGTTGTAGACAAAAAAAATAATATATATATATATAGTGTGAGCTATTTATATTGGTAAACTTTGACGAGATGCGACTTATCATTGTGAAGTGGTTGAAGATTACACACTTGCACTTTTCTCGTTTTGGTTTTTTTGCTCCGATGATTTTCAATTAACTATAAGATCGTCCGATATACAAACGGATGTACATATAGATAGCCTCGACGACGATGACGGCATAGAAACGTGTATCATAGTTACGCGTTACGCGAAAAGTCGAGCCAAGAGTACTTTCTCTCGACCGAAGAGGCGAAACGTTCACAATGTACGCGATCAATCGTCAATTTTAGACTGTTCCCAAAGTTTGCAGCGAAAGTTCACGCATCGCCGTACCGGTACGTCCAACAACATCTATGCCAATAAGCTGATAAACGACCAATTGTCAACGAACAGAACCCAGAATCGATCCCAGCGGAACGCCTGAATCATCATCGACACGTGCTGTCATACGTGACTAACGATTATTTGTTCAAACTAAAATACCTTCTGCGTTTATTGTTGTTATCATTTTGCTTTTATAAATATTGTTCGAAGAATTGCTTGGAAACAGGTATATAGTGCCTTTCATTTTCGAGGCCAAAATCGTGGCAGTCGGTGAATTCGCTAATTCAATTGTTGTCATACGGTGATCGGTCCATTGACGCTTGCTAAATTCCTCAGGGTAATAAAAAAAAAAGAAGAACAACAGTTTGCATTACTGTGTTAATTACGACAAATTCCAAGTCAAATTTGCATCTATTGTGTTAATTGTGTCAATTTGTATTCAATTGTTTTATGAAGTAAAAATAAGTGTGTTACAGGTTATACGATACGTGGCTTGTCAGGCAATGACAGTACTTGTCAATTAAATTAAGACAATATGACAATTAAACAATCTGTCAAAAGTAACCTATGACAAGTGTCATGTGACAGTTACTGTCATTTTATTGAAAACAAATTAATTCCAAACTATAGGATCAGATTAGAATAAAGTAATATTAATTGAAATTATGAGTTTGCAAAAATGTATTTGTTTGAAGTTATCAAAATAATGGCGTAGATTTAAACTTTAAAATTACATACTGTGTACTTAAGCATAAATGCACAGAATTGATCATAATTACAAGCATTATCGATGGTCGAGGTGGTGCCTAGTTGAACTGTAAAATAACAGTTTTTCCAACATCGGATGCGCTGTGAAAAAATGCCGTAATTTCGTAAATAGCTGAAGGCACACACATCCTACGCACCGTACAATTGGAGGCACGCGGCGGAAATCGCTCGTTGTCTCATTGTTTAATTTTTTGTATCGCAATTTTTCGCACTTTGTCTCATCTTCGTGCATTGACCAATTATTCATACATGTTTTAATGTCTTCTATTCTTCCAGTTTGATTCGAGATGACGGAAAAGGAGAAGAACGATAAAAATGATTCCAAGTATCCGTCGACGTTCACCGTCGACTGTTTCAGCTCGACGTAAGTATATATAGATTTAAATAAGTTCAACATCAAAAACAATACTATTTCATAATTCTCAAATTAGATTTTATTTTTCCTAAATTCCTAAAGTGTTTACACCCAAGTAGAATCAAACTAAACTTTAAAAAAAAAAGAAAGAAATTCGCAAAGTAAACAAAATTGAGCTGTCTATGTATAATCTACATTAGACAGCTTAATTTGTATCGTAAATCCTGGAGCTTTGGTAGCCTAATAATTGCTTTGTTTATGGTAGATCGCGAATTAACTGGGATTATTTTTTAAGCTGGCAATTAGCGAATTCCATTAATTATCGGCATTCTTTTGTTTCTCCCCCCCCTACCCCTCTCCACGTGAACATCGCCGCCAACTCCGATAAAGGCGTTTGTTTTGATTGTTCGTGCACCTGCAATCAACGCGTGTCGTTACGAAAACGACTTAAATAACAAAAACAATTAGGACGTGGAAAAAAGTTAAAAAACAAAAGTAAAAATGACATTAATTGAAACAAATTAAAGATTTTGTTTTTGTTCAATGCACTCACTCTATTTGACGATGATAATTCTGATCGTCCCATAAGTCAATATTTATATATTTGCAATGCACTTCAGATAAGTTTCACGCGTTTGTTAATGGTGCATGAAAGTGTGGGGGGGGGGAGAGGAGAAGTGGTTATGTAGACATGAGTAAAGTTGCAAATAATTCTGCAATCATTCGCAATCGCGCTTCTCATTAATCGCAGATTCAATAACGTTTCATCATTAACTTTATTTCTTAGATTTTTAAAGAATTAAAGTTTTAAATTCTGTTCCTATAGGTTTCCTTCAGCCTTATTAAAAGAATATGTATTACGTATCAATGTTTGTAAAGTATTTGTTGTTAGATGCGGAAAGAGAAATTCCAACTAAAATAATAATCAGATAACAAACAACAAACCGAAAGCACACACTTTATGCGTCGCTTTCTGTAATTTGTATAGGTGAAAATGCTGTGATCATCGAGATGATTGATGAATTATGCATCGACGAGATGATTTCCGGATCGTGCAGAAATGCAAAGACAATGGCATCATCATTTCTTCCTTAATTTTTTACGTTTTTTATCAACAAATCATTGTTACATATTTGCACGTCCTCTTAATACTAATTCAATTTGGTATCTTGCACTCCCGTTTCGCGCAGTGACGAATACACATATACAAACATTATTCAACGTGATTAAGCGTTATAAAACTTTCACCGCCGTGTAAATATTATTATTTATCGCGTACATTCGTCCATTAGCGCAAAATCAACAACAATTGTTAACATGCACAAAAGAATATTTACTTTAAGTCTCTACGAAAGGCGTTAGAAGCGCGAAAAGAAAACAACATAGATACAATGTTATATCTATTATCGTTCGTAAATCCGCGGATTAATCGAGTGGGCTTATATAATGCCACCGGATATCCAATACCCATTGTTTTCACTATTATTTTTTTTGCTCCTTTTATAAATTAATTCGTACGGTGTTTTTTTTATGTGATGGTTTCGAGTATCTCCGAATACCGAAAAATTTCCGTTCGCTCGATACTATCTCGATTAGATGGGATTAAGGGACACTCGTAGTGTGCTTTAGATATCGGTGTCAATTAAAGAAAGAGAGGGAGCTGAAACGGATCAATTAATCAAACAAACAATAAAAAAAAGAAACTGTTTTATCTATGAATTATTGAACTTTAACGAGAAATCGTTAATTAAAGGGAGATGGATGATGCAAATATATAAATATAAACAAAAGTGCAAATCATTTCTGATATTTGATTAATGGAAAAGTTTCCATAATTAAGTTTTTCGTTTTTATCTATGTTTCCACTTTGAATGGAAATAGATATATATTCATGTTTACTAATTGTTGTAGTAATTTTAATCATTTTCATTATGCTTACATGTAAATTCGTTGTAAAATAAATGCTAAAAATATACTACACGAAATTATTTTTAACAAAAAAAATGCTGTACTTTTAATTTTCTTCAATTTATCTTAGGCTGCATTTAAGTAAAAATAAAAATTGAATTCAGAAAGTGAAAAGAATTAAGTTATCTAAGCATTCTTATTATTATATTTTTGTACGTTAAAGTTTCCTTTAGTTTCCTCTTTAATTTCTCAGGGTAATATAAAAAAAATAAGAACAACAGTTTGCATTCCTATGTCAATTACGACAAATTCCACGTCAAATTTGCATCTATCATGTTAATTATCATTATTAGATAATATTAGTAGTCAATTTGTATTCAATTGTTTTATGTAGTAAAAATAAGTATGTTACAGGTTATATGATTCGTGCCTTTTCACACAGTGACAGTATTTGTCAATTTGACAATTAAACAATATGTCTGCCAAAATTAACCTATTACAAGTGTCATATTACTGTCATTTCATTGAAAACAAATGAATTCCAAACTGTAGGATCAAATTAGAATAAAGTAATATTAATTGAGATTTCTTTGTGTTGAAAGTTGTTTGAAGTTATCAAAATAATGGCGTAGATTTAAACTAAATTACTTAGAATTAAGTTATCTAAGCATTCTCATTATGATATTTTTGTACTTTAAAGTTTCCTTTATTTTCCTCTTTAATTTGCATCCATTTTCATTAGTCTACTTTAGTTTAATCTTCTCTTTCATTATTTTTTTTTTGGCTACAAATAGTTTCTTTCAGTGTTAATTTCCATTCGTCCTTTGTAGTTTCCTCTTGGTATTAAAACAAGGATTAGAAACTCCATTAAAGTTAGCGAATGGAGAACAATTAAGCTTTCCTTTCTAAATGCGATGCAACAGAGTGCTCATTTTTATTTTTTTGTTTGTTTCTTGTTTCAGGACGAAACTGCCGATCGGAAGCGTGGAGACCATCAACGAGAAGGAGTACAATCCGTTCGATCATCGCGTCGGAGAACACCAAAACTCGTAATGATCCTACTTTTTTTTATGTATATATATAATTTAGATTCCTTTAGGGTTCTTTCGCGTCCATTCCAATCGCAATTATTCGGAAATTATAACTATCCGTCTCTTTTTATTCGGTGGTCGCGCAGCTAATTGCGTTTACAGTTCGATCGAAACTCGATCGTTAACCGAATTTCAATGATGTTAATTGAGAAAACGATAATAACAATTTTAAAACAAACAAACAACAAGAGAACAACAGAAAGAACACCAACTAAACACCGAACCAAGAACTAAATCGGAAACTCGAATATAATGAGGTTATAGAAATTTATTTGTGCCACAAAGCGCGCTCGTTCGCTCTCCACCTTTTGCCTACGTTTCCACCTTCGATGACGACCACAAAAACAACCTCAACATTCATCAACAAAACAACAAAATACCACGTATATCTTATACAATCGAGAATTCCACGTGCGGTCTATAGAACATTTCATAAAAAATCGGGAATAACGTAAATTTTATATGATACATTTTTATAAAACTTGAATCAATTATAGTTATCACTGTCTAAATTGAGTTTGTTTCAAACTTCTATAGCATAAACGTCAAATTTGACGTTTACGATTAATTTCTTGTGTCTTTTCATAAAATTATTCGAATCTTTCTTAAAACAAAAGAAATTAGTATACTATATGTTATTTTATCAAATGGGATTTAAGAATCTATCCAAATCGAGGTTAACGCAAATTTTAGGAAATGAAACTTTTGTGACATGTCAATTTATCAATAATTTGTGACATATGTCATTTTTTGACAGGTTGTCAAATCAATCAATAGAATTTTAATGAATGAATGAATGAAAAATGTAATGAATGAAATTGATTTTTGAATCGATTCATAGTTCATTGTAAAGGTTCAATAATTTGTTACTGTTGTTAATTTATTTTACTCCTGTTGTGCTGTTCAATGGGCCGCCGAAATTTACATAACAAATTACCGGTTTCCATGGCGACGCGTACGGTTGCGTAACGATAAAGTCATTCAATTGTTCCGTCGAATCATTGTTCCTTGATGTTCCCTAATGTTGATTATTATTATTTTTGTTTGTTTTTCATTTCAGATCGGTGGGTGCGCTCGTCCATCTGGTGAAGAGTTCGCTTGGATCTGGGATCCTGGCGATGCCGCACGCCTTCCTCAGCGGCGGTGCGATCTTCTCGTTCGTCGGGACGATCATCATCGGTATTCTCTGCACGCACTGCGTCCACATCTTGGTGAGTTAACTCGACGATCAACTCCAAATGAAGAGAAGACGACGACGACGGCAATTAAGGAAAATGATAATTCCACGTTGACCGCGCGCATTTGACCTGAATTCCGCGCTTTGCGCTCTCGGCCTTTTTAACGACGCGCACCGCACACGCCCTTAGCAGTTGAAAGTATTCTCTAATTACCCCCGATTCCGACGCAGGAATCAAGGCCTCCTCGCATCATCATCACCATCCACCGATTTGCATTTCGAGCAACACTCTTGCATCACTTCCAACGACGATTCGGTTATTAAATGATGCCTCCTGTCATTACGTTCCATCGGAAGAGCAGCAGCAGCAGCACCAATTTGCATCATCATAATCATCATCTTTCAATCGGTTCCAATTGGTCCTCGGGCTTTTCCCACGGTTCCCTAATTTCGAATGCAAAATCAACTCACCCTTGACACGTCCATTACCTTTGCTCATCGCTATAGCCACGGAATGTTAATTTCCTCCTAACAACAACAACAATGATTATTGATTTGCGAAACAAATTTAAACTACAAAATAAACAGCGGACATTTTTCGCATTCGGGATTAGAAATTATCAGATTTTAAAGTTTCTTCCACTGAATTTTTAAAACAATCGAAAGTAGATTCTGTAAACAAACAGCAAGAGACATGGAGAGAACGAAATTGGGAAAATGAAACGAAAGTTTACGAAAAAAAATAAATAAATATACGAAACAGAGGCAACCTTTTTACCGTCGCGTTGTGTCACGAAGATTAGGTAAAACCGAACTAGATGCAGTCAGTGTGCATTCGAGCGAAATGCTAAAAAAATAAGTAAATGAATGAGAAAACGATGGTAAACAGAATATCGACGAACAGAGAAAGTCGACGAAATTTGTTACATAAGATGTGATTTGTCTCTGTGAAACGTTTATTTAAATTAGTAAAACATTTTTTCGAATTCTATTATTCCTTTATCGTAATTTATAATTTACTCTTTTCGTTATTATCATAATTTATTGAACGATCTGAAGATGGATGAAAGTATTGAATTTGGTTATGTAACCAAAGAACACACAAAATTAATAGTTTCTGGAAAAACTTTCCATTTTTCTTCATCTAAAAAACTATCTATCAGTGAGTTAACTCACAAATTTGTATTAGTTTCAAGAGTGCATAACACTTAGAGGTTATTGACCATTTCTTTCGTTCTTTGGTATTTTCAGTATCTTAACTCACAATTAACAAACAAAAAAAAAACATTAAGACTTGAAACATTTGTTGGATCGTTTAGGTGAAAGTGGATAGTTAAAGTACATTTTCGCAAATGAAAATAATAATAATAATATCAGCTGAACTTTACAATCACTGAAATCGCAAGAAAAATAAACATTTTCGTGCAATTATCGTAAATTATACTGAAAAACAGAAACGAGCGATATAACGAGCTCGATCTTAAGAAACCGAATTACCAAAGGATAATTAACATTGCTCGAAATCGTTTTTTCCTTCATTTATTCCCCCCCATTTCCAGCCGACATACCTTCGATTGCGAAAACGGACATTCCTAATTTGGTTTTGCGAAAGCGAAACGAAAAATTCAAATTCGAATTGCACATAAAATAAAATTAAAAAAAAAAACAACAAACAATGGTACATAAAGTAAGGCGAAATCGATTTCTGCGAATTGTGCATTATTATATAACGAAAAAAACAAAGAGAAGAAAATAAGTGAATTTCGTGTGTCAAGGTCTGAATGCGTGGGTGTCTTTGTTTTTCTTGTATATTAATTGAATTGTGAAGCTGTTGAGAGAAGGGAATTCCAGTTTTCGTAATAATAACAACAACAAGAAAAATGTACACAAATATATGACAAAAAAAATGTGTGAGTTGAATTCGTAGTAGCGAGAATTGCGTGCCCGGAATAAAGTTTTTTTTATGTTTCTGTATGTGAATTTACAATTACAGTGTTTACTATATTTTCTGGTTTGTTTTGTTGTTTGTGCGGAAATCGCTCCATACCGGATGCAAATCCGAAGGATGTTTCATTGATGATGATCATCATTTGAAGATGAGACGAGATCGGTTTTCGCGGAGGTCGCTCATATTTGAATCAGATATCAATGTGCAAATAATAATGCTTGTTTTGTAATTGTGATTTCAGGTGAAGGCTTCGCACGAGATGAGCAGAAGGAAGAAGGTGCCGTCTTTGGCGTTCGCGGAAACCGCCGAGGCCGTCTTCGAGTATGGACCGGAGAAGATCCGCAAGTTCTCGCATACCGCAAAGTAAGTTCCACCAAAAAGTTAAGCGTACAGAAAAAAAAAGAAACGAAAATGAACGCCATCCGTTTGCAACGAAAGCAAACTGGTCCTTCTGGAGAAGATATGCGGCAATTTTCGCCGCAGACACAATTACCTGCAATTACGTACTACCCGGTTCCAGCGAAGGGAGAGAAATCTCGTCTTCGATGAAATTGCTCTCTCGCTTCTTCTTTTGTTCCGCCTCGATCACTTCGATTTTGGTTTTCGAGCCAGTCTGGGTCGGTAACCAATTAAGCGCATCTGCCTCGATTTGCGCCAAATTTGACTTAAACGCTCTCGGATACGCTTCGAACTAATTTGACATATTTATTGAAAATAACACATATCATATGGGACATGAACCCATACCAACATCACTTTTAATTTCCACCAAATTTGACATAAGCATGCTTTAACATTTAGTTAATTTTTACATGTTTATTCTCAGCATTAGTCTCAATAACTTCAAATGATGGTATTTATCAATAGAAACATTGTTCATTGTAACGAGGAAACGAAGGTTAATCTTTCGTTGGAACGTCGTTAAATTACAACTGGTTAGCAATGAAATTCTGCACGAGTTCAACCGAAAACGTGGATTTTCCATGTCATTATTGTTTTGTATAAATGTACGGACATTAAGCATTCAATTGAAAGCGAAGAAACGAAAGGCTCGACGAGAACTTAAAAATAAAACATATAGTTTTGGAGGCCGACAGCTTTAGTAGCATTTTTCACATTAACTTGACTCTAAAAAAAATACTTGGAGCAATAACATAAACATTGCATTTAAATTCCACATACAATATTGTTTTTTTTTCATAGGAAATTGAAAAACGTGGAAGTAGAAACGAAAGGTTAATTTCGAAATGATCACAAGTGCTTTGTGTGCGTATCGATGATAGCCTGAGTTGATGATAATGCGGAAGAATGCGGCGCGCTTACGTCAATCGTATTAATTGTCTACGATTAATTGGCAAATGTTTATTTATCGTTTGCAAGAAGCATTGCGACAGACAGGTACGAGATGGAGAGAGAAAATTTATGTGCGACGACGAAGAAACGCAAATACAAATGTATATTTGCGGAAAAATGACGGTGGGGAGAGGACGCGGCGAGGAAAGAAGGAAAAACAAAATGAAAAAAAAAATAAGAAACAAAACAAAATGGAAACAAAACAGACGCAAACGCAACTTTCTAGATAAATCCCAAGGATGCCAGCGCGAAATACCAACACACACACAGAGTATCTGCAGAGAGCGTTCGTATTACAATCGCAACTTCATTTACGCAAACGGCGATGAATCAAAGAAAAAACCTCAACGTTAATCAGAAAAGCGACCGCAAAGTTGCACCGATTCCAATTCGATTGGCAATAAGTTAACTTAGTTAAAAATTTCTTAAATAATTAATATTATTTCGATTGATCAAGTTAGCCACTTTCAAATAATGATTAGAAAGATTGCTTTATGTCATTATTAAATCTGTCAAAAGTGACACGTTGTAGGTGAATTATTCTACAATTTACAAATATACAATTGAAACTTTACATCACTATTGCTGTGGTTGAAAAAAAAGTACAAAGAAATGAAGAGGAACGCCGTCGCTAGATGAGATGGTAGCGTTGGAGTAGAAATTTTGAAGAAATGACCATCAAAAATAAAGAATAGCATAGATTTGAGTATGGCACGAAATGTATTGTACTGCGACACAGGTAAGCGCGGCGACCTTTACCCAGTAATCCACGCAACCGTGACCTTTCCTCTTGCGTAACCCGAAAGACGACGGATTTAAATGGAAATTGGGTATTCCGATCGGGTGTGCATAAGCGGTCAGTTTGCGCAACGCATACCGAAAGAAGACGGGAGCCGCCTATGATCCCGTCCATCGAAGACTACGAAATTTTCCGCTCGCGAAACCGCGCCGGTTGCGCAACGTCGTCTTCGAGCAATTCTCGAAACGGATCGCAAACGGCACACGACTTGTGCTCGGATAATGCAGTCAGTAGTAGTACTTCGTACTCCAATTGCTCAACGGCGACGGCCTTTCACTTCTTTTCCTCTCGTGCGCTCCAATATTGCTTTTATCAAAAGACCTTTTCCTTTGCTCCATATATACAAATGCACACAACATATGTGTGGTTTTGTTACTGCTACTGCTTGCTATTTGTTATCGTTTCTCTTCGCTTCAATTTGCTTCGTCTCGGAACGGATTCCGGATTACACAACGAGCGCGGTGCGATTTTGTAGTCCGCGCGCGGTGTGCTTTTCAATAAGGTTGGCCGAGTAAAAGTGCACTTTCTTAAAGCGGAAGGCACACCACCGCCGACGACACGCAGTCTACGGCGGAAACCAGCGGCGTCGCGACCTGAAGAACTTTTTCCGGTTTATCGGCACGCCACTGACTCGTCTCGAGAGACAATTTCTACGCGACTCGATCTCTCCCATTTTTGGAATGTTAAACACTCTTAGCGATTGCCAATTATCGTTGCAAACCCACTTTTACTGGGTGTTCTCTTCAAATAATCAATTTCCAACATCCAATACACTAATTACCGATAGATGGCTATAGCGATTTATGTTTTCCATGTATCACTGCTATCTTTTTAATAATCGTATGAAAAATTACATCATAGAAAGAAATAAAGTAATGAATTAATAAAATCAACGCGTGTTCTTTCACCTTCAGTAAATTGCAGTAAACCGATTATAGTTGACAATAAGCGATCGCGTTATTAGTACACCTATTAAGGTTACGAGCGGTATAATGTGAAGGCTGACATTAGCCTTCTTTAATTAGCGTATACATATTTAGTGCACATATTATATTATCTCTTTTTTTTATTTCCAGAGTTGCCGTCAATATAGGACTGGTCGTCACGTATTTCCTAGGTAACAGCGTCTACATCGTCCTCATCGCATCGTCCCTCAGTGAGGTAAGAAAACTACCAAAGTTGTGAACTTGTTTGAAAACAAAATCATCATCAAATCGGACTCTGATGATAAATCGTACCAAATGAATTCGGTGAATCAAACAGATGGCGGATTTTGGTAATCATCTGTTATGTGCACAATCTAACAATTAAAAAAGCGTGTTTATTATCGGTGGCGCCGGCCGAAATTCGCGCGCGCTTACGTAAACGTTTGGCAAATACCTTGCCGATAGTGATCATGAGTGGCTATTGTTCAATATTTTGCAGCACTTGTCGCAGATTAATAAACCTCGCCTTTATCTCTGATTTGCATCGCCCGTGCGGATTAATCACAGTTCTCGCGTAAACATCAATATTTAATTGTACGTTGATGCGTATCGCGAATATCTACAAAAAAACAAATAAATATATATTAATACGCACACACAAATGCAGTCAGTAATTTTCATTAAAATGTGAAACGAATCTATTTATTTGGTCTGAGTTTCTAATGTTGATTACTATAAAACAGTTTTATATTTAATTTTTCGATCGTTTGATTTACATTGAAGTCTTATGAAATATAATAATGAAAGTCTTTGCGTTTGTTCACAGGTGGTAACGTATCACAATGGTGGTGTGGAGCTGATGGATAAGAGGCTGTACATGCTTATCATTCTGGTGCCCATAATATTGACCAGTCAGTTCAGGCAGCTGCGGCATTTGGTGCCGTTCTCGCTTCTGGCCAACATCTGCATGATAGTCTCCTTCATCATCACTCTCTACTTCATCTTCGAAGGTTTCGAGGTGAGCAAGGACGTGGAGTTTCTGGGCAGCATCGACACCATCCCGTCATTCTTCAGCACGGTCATCTTCGCAATGGAGGGCATCGGCGTAGTTATGCCGGTGGAGAACAGCATGGACAAGCCGCAACAGTTCCTCGGTTGCCCAGGCGTCCTGAACATTGCCATGTCTCTAGTCGTATCGCTGTACGCCATCATTGGCCTCTTCGGCTATCTCAAATACGGTGGCATCACCTCCACGAACATCACCTCCGTCCTACCGAACACACCGTAAGTTCCATGTGATGGTACCATCATTTTGCAGTTTAACGTTTACCTTCTGATTTTAGTCTCGGAGACACGGCCAAACTGTGCATCGCCATCTCCGTGTTCTTCACCTTCTCGCTGCAGTTCCACGTACCGATGGAGATCACCTGGCAGAAGGTGTGCGAGCCCTACATCCCGAAGAAGTTCCACAACCTCGGACAAGTGGCAGTTCGCAGTTTGGTCTGTGCGGTGATCTGCTGCATCGCAATTGGTGTACCGGAACTTGATCCGATCATCAGTTTGGTCGGCGCCATCTGTCTGTCGACCTTGGGAATCCTGGTGCCCGCCTTCGTCGAGACGGTCCTGCGCTGGGAGGGCAGACTGGGCCTTCTCAAGTGGGTTCTCATCAAGAACATCTTCCTGATGTGCTTCTCCCTGTTCGCCCTCTGCGCCGGAACCTATTACGCCATCCTGAAGATCATCGAACTCTACTAAACAAGGAAACAAATAATCCGATTATTTTTTTTCGAATCGCCCTGTACATATATATACATACATACAAACAAGAAACAAACAAACAACGTAACAAAAACATTTGGGCTAAGCGAAACACAAAACGCATTGTAAATAGACAAACAATGAAATGTTTATGTTGCAAAGCATTCGGCCATCATCGGAACAAAACATAAACATTATGAATGTACAAAAAAAAACAGTATATGCCATTATCACAAGTTGATCAGTGTGCGAGTGCGCAACGATTCATCATCAATCTCCATGACATCATAACAAATGACGACGAGGACGCGCGTCTTGTAAATGTCGAGCGCACCTTGAAACTAACAAGACAATCACAAAGGACTTTACAAAAAAAAGAAAAACAAATATATATATTTATATAATATGATGTGATATTTGCAAATTCTCTGCGATATTTTTATCTTTCAATTAATTAAATGAAAAGTACGATAATTATTTTTATTCTAGTGCTATATTTAACAGGGGTTTCTTTAATTTATTTATACAATGAATTAAATTAAATTAATTTAAACTAATGCGATTTTATTGCTCTTTCTAATCTTCTCCTCCTCCTCGTCCTCTTCGCCTTCAGCATCTCACATTATGATGTTGTTGGTCCAGGTGTCGTTGTGTCTCTTCCTGGTAAACGGATTGTTCAAGTTCCTATTGTCCAGTTGCGGGTAAAGACCCGGGTTGGTTTCGTAACCGTGCCCCAGATCTCGCAACTCCTTCGGCATCTCGGTGATGTCGACCGTTGCGCTGTTACCGAAACACAGAAGACCTTCCTTCTTCATCAGAAGAAGGAAGCCGAGCAACATGAGCAGAATGCCGCTCACGATCAACACCCATTTTACCACGTCTAGCGAGCTAATCTTAGCCATGTTGCTGACGAGGATATCGGCGAATTCGACTGGAAGCGTAGCGCCCTGAATTACATAGAAATAGAAAAGTTAATCAAATTTGTCCGAAGCTATATTACCTCTTCGATCCACAAAATAGGAAAAACCCCAGCGCTGACATTCTCGAGCAGTTCGAAACCCTCTAGTCGTTTAATCTGCATGTTCATCTGGATGCGTTTCCTACCTGATACAGGTGTTCCTGTAAGCTATGAAAACAAATAGAATAAATTACTAAGAGACTGTAGAGCTTTTTTGTGTACTGGCTCGATGTTGGCGTAGTTCTCGTGGAGCTCCTTCTTAGGGTCCAAACCGGTGACAAAGTCCAAGAGACTCCTGTCCGCCAGATAGAAGTGCGGATAGGAGATGAGCAACGGTGCTTTCATGCATGGCGTGACGTCGGCTAATCCGCTGATCGGGCACTGCACCACCTCGTTACCATCTTCATCATTACCACGTGGACAAAAACACCGGTTATTGGGGTTCCTGTCCAACGAGGATATTTTGCTCGAATACCGTAGAGTCTTTATACCGAACTCCTCACCCTCCTTTTCGTAGCTCGCGTACAAGGACCTTCCAGGACAAAAACAACAACAAATTGGTCTGCATTTAGAATTGTGTCCGATTACCTCAGATTTTACCGATTTTAAATTTCATTTATGGAACGACAGGTGTGTTTCGGGTCATAATTTCAGACCATTAACCTTTTCCGTTTTTACGACTCTTATAAAAATAAAGTTTTGCTCTCGCCACAATTGCAACATTCAATTTTCCTATTCAAATACCAATCGCATTAATTAATATAATTAACTTATATTCTTCCATCGGTAATTATCATTATCACAATTATTTTAGTGCTGTTCTATTTTTAATTTTTTTTCTTTTTATAAATACTTAATGAGGACTGACCTGCAAAAGTCCTGTGCGAAGGTGTACACTCTCATTGGTTTGAGAAGGTTGAAATAAGGTGGAAAGACTGTGGAATCGCTACCATTGATCTGATTGCAGTACTCGTTTCCCCATATATCCATCTTCGTCTGCCCCTCGTAACTGTATATTTGTCCTTTGGTGGTGTTCTTCAATCCCCTGCCCATCTCCCAAGGACCATCGTCCGTTCCGTTTAGCTGCGCAAAGATTTGATGACGATCAACGATTATTAACTTAACTTAAAGTTAGATGAATGAGAGGAATCTTACATGTCCGAACATCGAAAACAGGAAGTCCTTTCCGTTTTCCGCCACCTTGATCGTTTTGGGAAGGGTGCCCTTCATCGCTCCGCAAACGAATTCTGCGAAGCGAGCCGTGAAAAACAAATTTATAATATGACGGATGTTAGCAAGGACGTTGCATTGGTGCAATTTACCGACTTCGTCGTCCTGACAGTACAGCCGTATGCCATCGAACAGGATATCCTTAACTTTGGCAGTCAAGAATATGTCCTTGGTTCCAGGGAACAGATAGGGAATAGCTTCGCTAATTGCGGGCAGCGCGGATGGAAATAGGATTTCCACCTGAAGCGCCGTTCCCTAAAGAACAACAAATTATTATATAAAACAATGAACGAACAACGATGGTCGTCATTTACAACTAGAGCGGCGTTCAGTATTGTCACGGTGTCATCGATGTCATGGCAACCGCTGTCCTGTTTGTTGAACAAGAACGTCTTCTTGAGGACGTACTTGAGGACATCGCGCGTTTCGTCGACGCTGATATCCACGCGTTCTCGGTACTGACTGTAATTTATAATATCTTTGTTTTAAAGCAAATTTTGTAACATCAGCATCATCTAGCAAATACTCGTAAACGTATGGACCAATCTCTTTGAGGATAGGTTTGGCTCCGTTCTGAACTTCAGCGGCATTGGTCACGTTGAAGAAGATGATCTTGAACTTCAGAGGAAACGGCTGTTTCTTCCAATAATCGTACGACTGCGTTCCATCCACCAAATCTATGTTCTGCGCAGCGGAATATATTTTGAATAGTTAAAATGATGCATGATAATTCCAGTACCTGATGGAGTTGATGCTCAACCAGTTTGGGAAAGACGTACCAGGCGCAGATCGCGCCCAATGCAACGATCAGAAAACCCGTGCCGGACGTGATCAGAGGACAGTTCTTGTACATTCTGCGATCCGATGCGAAATGCCAATTACACAATACCACTTCGACAATCGGAAGGACGCTATTAAAATCGCATAATAATATTTAGCTAATCAGAAGATCATCTGCTTTTTTTGTTTGTTTGTATGTGTGTGTTTGTTTTCATATTTCCATTGTCGTTGCTTGAATAGGATTAATCGCATTAAACATGTATGCTGATGGACTTGCATGCCATCCGGACATCAAAGTTCGCTCCTTCTTTTACTACCCGCCGCCTCACTAATTATTATATATGCAATAATCGTTCCCTTTATTATTATTAGTGTTTCCGATTGGAATCGTCGATTGAATCTTAGCATTATTTCGCTATTACATACTCCACAACAAATAATATAATTTGTAAGCAAGCACATTTAATATCGATTATTATTTATTCTCAGCAATAATTGGTAAAACTATACTACAAATTCTCTTTGAATAATTTTAAACTGCACTTGAATAAAACTAACAAAATATAGGTTGGCCAGTTCTTTGTTTTGTTCTTCAAATTAATTTTATATATACATTATTCAAATTGATCTTCGTTAAATACTTCACAGAACTAAGTATTGCGACATTATTTATAACATCTAATTAGATTATTATTAGATTTTTAATTGAAAATATTTGCAATGAAAATTTGCTTTCATTCATTTATGGGTTTATTTTGATTAAAAATACTTTTTAATGAGTCGAATAGTAATCATCTCAACATCAACATTTTTCAATTAAATCTGTGTTAAATCTGTTTAATCAATGATTTAAAATGGCGATGTTAGGCAACCAAACTTGCACGTCTGCAGTTTTCCGCACACATGTCAAAGATATGTGTCAAAGTTTTCACCTGGAACTGTGTTATTGGCTATTTTAATTGTTAATAAAAGAAAGAGAACAATAGAAAAGGGCGCCTGGCGAAGGAAGAAAAATATCATGCACACGTCGCCAAACGTTATCAGTCTTTAATACCGTTAAATTGGCATATCCGAAATGTGTGGTTATGTTATCATTCCCCAGATTCCTCAATATTATTGTTAAGTATTAGTAGTAGCTAAGGTAAATAGAAGAGCTGAAAATGTTTCCGCGCAGCTATAGCCTAGCGAAGCAGCTGTGCCACAAGTGCGAATACAGCTGTTTAGTGAATTTCCGTAAGTTTGCACTTAATGCAATCATCTGTGCATTCATTTTAATTATGTATTATGTTCTTTCACAGGCGTAGCGAAACGTAATTATGTAGTATATGATAAGTATTTTAATCTAGCCAAATGTCTAAGGCGTAACTTGTCCAGTACAAAAAAACCAGAACCTTTGGAGAAGCCAAAGAAACAAGCAATCATCGATGTGATTGCTCCGAAGATCAGGGAGGGTGAAAAGGACACTCTTTTAAAAGATATAAAGGAAAAGAGTTTGGAGGGGGTGAATGTAGGAGGAAAGAAGAAAGAAGCGCCAGTAGCAGCTGAACCTATAGCCAAGTTGAAGGAGAAGATTCTGCATAAGCAGCAAGGCAGTGCCGAAGATGGTACGTTTTTGCCATGATTGTAACTTATTAAATTATAAAAAAAAACTAAAGTTGCAGGTGTTCCAACGCCACAGCAGAAGAAACGGAAGCGCGTGGATTTCACGGCTTCATCGCTGGAAAGGAACTTCATAACGCCGGTACGTGCAATGTCTGATTTTCTTCTGAAGCCGTCGGACCTGGAAACCCTTCCGAAGACGAAGCGTCGGTCGCCGTACGAGGCCGAGCCTCCTATCACGGTGTACTGGAGACGTGACGTCGAAGCCAAGGCGCTGCAGGTCTGGGGCTCACGCGAGAACCTCATCAAGGAGTGCATCAAGCGCGATATCGAGCGCAAGAAGTACCAGCAAAGTGATTAACCTTCATATTTTGCTAACGTTCGACCTGCAATAGAATGAATGTCTGTTTTCCTTTCGTTTAGATATTTTCACGGTGAAGCGTCGCCTCCGGGATTACAGGCGAGAGATGGGCAAGTCCGTGGAAGCGGCCGACGTCGAGTCGGGCTTGATGGGACGTTCGGGGAAGGTCGTGCTTATGGCCGTTGGAATGTGAGTTTTAGGTTTGACGGCGGATGCGCTGTAAGTTCATCTGTTTATCACAAATTTTGCCTACATGGTTTCAGCAACTCTATGAACTTCTTGTTCAAATTGGGCGCCTGGATTCTCACCGGCTCTCATTCCATGTTCTCCGAGTGCATTCATTCCTTGGCCGATACCATCAACCAGTTGATATTGGCTTATGGCATTCACAAATCCGTGCAGGTTAGTTTCTGCCACCCTAAGTAAGAGATGCAATAGCTTCTACAATTCAAAAACACTTTTTCACTGTTGTAAAACAAAATATTTTCAGATTGCGGACTCGAATCATCCGTACGGATATACGAACATGAAGTACGTGGCTTCGCTGATATCTGGAGTGGGTATCTTCTGCGTGGGTACCGGTTTGTCTATATACCATGGCATCTCCGGTTTGATCGATCCTCAGCCTATCGAGGACCTCTTCTGGGTATGATATCTACTTAAAACCAGAGGAGGATTGCAGTTATATGTGGTGTTGGTTTTGCAGGGGTATTTCGTGCTCGGTGGATCGTTGATATCCGAGGGAGCCACGTGGTATGTGGCCTTCATGTCGGTGCGAAAGGGGGCACAAGAGAACAACATGTCCATCAAGGATTACAGTGAGTCCGGTTGTTGATATTTTCACTCATTGGAGATTTTCAATACGGTTTTTGATTATAGTTTTCAGGGGTCAGGATCCGAGTGTGAATGTGGTGCTGTTGGAGGACGCGGCCGCCGTGATCGGCGTAACCGTGGCCGCTACCTGCATGGGTATATCCTCGCTGCTGAACAGTCCCATTCCTGATGCTATGGGTTCGATCCTGGTGGGCGGTATCCTTGGCACCGTTGCCTCCTTCATCATCTACACGAATGTCGCCGCTCTGGTAGGCAGATCCATTCCGCAAGAGAACCTGGACAAGATCAATAGCGAGCTCGAATCCGACGTGATGATCCGTGCCATTCACGATGTGAAGGGCATCGACATGGGCAACTACCTGGTGCGATACAAGGCCGAGATGGACTTTGACGGCAGGGAACTCACTAGGGCTTATCTGGACAAGGAAGATTTGAACAACCTGTTGGAGGTGATTAGTGGAAATTTATTAGTTTTTGCTAAAGACTCTATTGCGTGTTTTCCACAGGAGGTGAGGAAGTTTGAAAACATCGATCAACTGGAGGAGTTTATGCTAAAACACGGCGAGGCCATCGTTGATATGCTTGGTGGAGAAATCGATAGGATAGAGATGAAACTGAGGGTAATCTTTGACTTTTTTTTCAATCAACTTAAACTAATTTGCACTTGCATTTCTGTTAACAGAAGAAACATCCGGAGATAAGGCACTGTGATTTGGAGATTCTGTAGGTGCGAGGGTCGGGACCAAGGAAGCTTAGAGGGTTGGAGGCCTCGACGCGAAGGATTCGAGAATTGTTTAATTTATTTGATCGGTAGACGCCTTTTCTTTTTAATTGCTGTAAATATTCCTTTGTAAATAATTACTCTCAAGACCTATGCATCTCGGTTTTCTAACACACTCTTATTATCCGAAACCAAACACGATTTTTAGATTTTTATTGGGTACTTTTATTATTACTGCGCCTTTTGTTATTCGTATAAATCTAAATATATATTCAATGTTATAAATCCAATTAGAAAATAGTTTGACTATTGCTTTATTTTTAATACTATTTTCCACTTCCACTGTTTACTATTAATTAATAAAATTTGTTTTACGTTTGCTTGCCTATTCGAACCTATTGCCACAACAAACAAACAACGGAAAAACACAAAAATTGCAACAAAAAAATAAGATATGCGCTGCGAATGATTATAATAAATATGGAAACAATAGACGAGAATTTCAATAAGTTGCATAAATTGCATTGAAGCCAAAGCTCAGGGCTACGTTCAGAGATTTGCATTAATTATCAATTCATTGTTGCTGAAGTTACAAAAAAAATAAACAATCGCTCATTATATTCAAATTTTTCGAGGTTCATTTATAAAAACGCACGGATTTTCGATTTGATCGAGATAACTAAGTTGAGTGCGTCCACTGCACTCCCTTCGTTTGTTAGTAAATCTTTCATATTTTGGTAGAAAGATGTGGTTCGTGTTGGTGCTTCTTTTTCAGGGATCCACAGCACTTTACACTTTGAATCAGGGTGCTCATAGGAAGTGCGATTATGCGCACGTTAACCGCACATACACCTGCAGCTACATCGAGAACATCTTTCCGAAGATGTTCTACGGAAACTACGCTTTGGATTGCGTATCCTGTAGCATTCCGACTTTCAAGGTAGAGACGTTTCCATACGAAAACAGCTTGATCTCGATGAACCTGACGAACAGCCGAATCAGGAATATCACGAGCTTCGCCTTCCAACGGCTCGGAGGTCTTCACAGTCTAGATTTACGATACAATGTTATTAGGTACGGCAGTATCTCAATTGCAATATAAATAAGTAGTTTAATCGATTGGAGGTGTTTTCTACATTATATTTATGTGTGTCGTAGAAACGTGTCGCGCGATGCCTTCAATGGATTGGTAGAGGTGTACGAGTTGTACCTGGACAACAATGAGCTGGAGGATTTGACTCCAGGATTTTTGAATAACTTCGAAGGGAATCAGGTACGCATCAGCTGGAACAAACTAAAGTCAATCGCGGGGAAAACTTTCGAAGGCATCAAAGGAGTGATGGCCTTGGATTTATCGCACAACCACATCTTCACGCTCTTCGAGGATTCGTTCTCGTATCTCGATGGTCTCGAATTTCTTGATATGTCCGATAACGCTCTGTGCAACTTACCGCTTGGTGCGTTCAAGAACCTGAAGCTACTGAAGACGCTGAACCTAGCCGGTAATCACTTCCGAAAGTTCCATTTTGGCACGTTCTCCGGGTTGAACGGTCTCATCGAGTTGAACCTCTCGAGGAACGCTCTCATCCAATTCGAGCCCAACGTCCTGCTGACGATGGGGAATCTGCGGATGGTAGACATCGGCGCCAACGATCTGCAGTACGTTGACGGTCTGATGATCCACTCTTACGCGCCTCCGCTTCGTCAGATCGGGATCAGCGACAACGTCTGGAACTGCATCAGTCTCTCCAATTTAATACAGTACTTACATTCAGTCAACATACATGTCAACGAACATTACAGATACGATGTCACCAATGTCCATGGTATTGCCTGCGCCGATGATACTATCACCGACCAGAAACTTACGTTTGAAAAGTTCTACAACATCTTGAAACGTAACACCAATAATGCCTATAATTATTGCTGATTGCTACTTTATGAAGAAAAAATAAAACTTTAAAAAAGTTTACTACTTTACGTAACTATTTGTGTATCAAAAATTACACAATAAATATAGTTTGAATATAAAATTCCATGTTGATGTTCAATGAATACTTATAATATACGGCACATAAAATGTATAAATAGAAAGAAATATTGTAAACAAGTTAATCTGACCTAGTATTCTATTAAAATTACCAATAAATCTATTGGAATCGGTTACTTCATATCTATATATGGAGGAAACTGAACAATTCGGATGATCGAATCTATCGCCAACGCAGATTATTCACGAAAAAAAAAATCCATGGTCAATTTGATCAAAATGTCGATGGATCTGGAAGATCTAGTAAACCAAATTTGTATATTGAAGCCAAGATCGATTATTTTTTTAATGTGAATTTTTGAGAATGGATAAAACCAATAATGAAAATGGGTTTGTTGATAAACAATAAATATAAATAAAAAAAACAAATCTAACAAATTCAGAGATTATTACTACTTTCACATTTACAATCATAAGAAATAAACAATTATCTTATCTGCACTAAAGTATTTCCCCAAAGCAAAATTCCCAGTGTAAATCCCCGCATCTCAGATTCGAAATGCTGTATATATAAGGTGGTTCGATGCGAAACAGATTCATACTGAAACAATCACTGTCCACTACGTTTCACTGATTTACAATAAAACGAAAGTAAGTAAAGAAACTTGTATACCAAAATATCATCTGAATTATATTATTTATTCGCGTTGCAGATGATCAAGCAAATGATCTTTCTTGGATTAATAGCATTTGCTGTTTCTTATCCGCACATCGATGCTAATGCAGAAGACGCCGAAGCATACGGAGCGCAGGTTTTCAGAAACGAAGAGCAGATTTTCCGGCCTAGAAGATTTGTAGGTCACGTGAACCGTCCGAGGCCAGGACAGACGTGGTCTCCGCCGAATCCTAAACCTCAAGGACCACAGACTTCTATCAATCCAAGCATTAACACCAACAAAGCTGGCACCACCAATGTCGGTGTCGATGTCAAGCACGAAAGACCAGGTGCTAAAATCCAAGCACACATTGATCAGAACGTTAAGGGGCCAGGAAAATCCGGAAAACCTAACTGGAACGTACATGCTCAGATCGATTAAACTGTTTTTTTTTTGTATTAATGTTTAATAAAGATATATATTTTCCTTAATTTTTATCAATTTTTATTGTATCCTGTATAGCAGTGGTTTCCAAACTTGAAGTTACTACGCCTCCCTCAAAAGTATGTAATCATTTGGCGCCTCCCCTTTCATAAAAGGAACGCGCGTTACAGCAATATGGATAAGAGGAATGTATATACTTGCTAGATTCCCCAAACATTCAGCTTTCATATGCATATATCGGATTCATTCTATCTATTATAGTTTAAGAGAAAATCAATGAAATGTGAAAACACCGCCGCCCGTCCGCAAAC